CTGAATTTGTATGATGTACAATCAAGACTTTATAGAAATCATTGTGTAGTTAGAATAAAGGTCCATTTGCAGTATGGCAAGTGATTTTAGACGGTCATATCTTAAACCATGAGTAAAACAATATGTTTCTTTCAAGTGAAGTCCCCATGATGATAAAAATATCAATCGAACAATTTCGAAAAATTATCACGTCAACAATTTTTTCAAAATGTTGAACTTATTTGCTCAAAAGAGGATCTTATTTTTCTGATTTCTATTGCATGAAAACATTATTTAACAAGGGGTCTAAAAATCCTCAAAAGTAGAATGGTATTGAAGGTTTAGTTTTCAAGATACCACTTTTCGATGACCAAAATCATGCTGAAAACAATAGATAGCATGAGTTTTCCCTTTGAGAAAATAATATGAGAAATGTGGTTTTTAACTTTATTGCATTTCAATACCCATCCCCTTTTCAGAAGTTATTAATATAGTGTAGAAGAAACTTTTGAGACATTTAAATTGAGAAAAACAAGATCCTCTTTTGAGAAAATAAGCCTTATTTTAAAAAAAGTGACAAGGTGGGGTCCTAATCCATAATTTTTCAGAGAGTTGGATTGATATTTTACTATCATGGGGACGTCACTTTAAAGAAAACATATTGTTTTAATAAAGACCACTGTATGTATACCCAGAAAATACCCATGGTGAAAGATATGACTGTCTAAAACCACTTGCCATACTGCACATGGACCTTTACTTTAACTGTTTATCTCTAGTCACAATTTCGAGGCATATTCCATATTGGATAATCCGATTGGGATCGTATACCAAATGATGGTTTCAATAAATATGATGAGCATCCATCTTTAACAACAGACACTTTATCTTTAATAGCGGGCATGATTTACCATTAACACCCTTGTAAACCGAGCTCTGTCTGTAGTAATTAAACGTCTACCAAAGGAACAACGAGTTCATAATATAGATGAAACTTGTTCTAAGATTTTTACGACAGAAAAGATAATCACGATACTCACACGTCAAGTGAAGCTTATTTATTGCTTATACTTTAGCACCCCATCTTATGTAATCATCTTATCTGGGTTTGATTTATTTACATGCTAATTGAATTAATTAATAGAACACATCTTTCGGTGAATTTGAACGTCAGCACCGGGAAACAGTGTAACGAAAACATAGTAAGGTGTCTTCCTGTGCAAATACCTGTTTAAGTGGATAACAAAAGAGCTTATTCCGGGGGTGTTTAGAATGAATGGGTCTTTGGAATTAAAATGTTTAATACGAGTAACGAAGCTTTATTTCTAAATTAAGAGTGATTTCTAAGTCAGCCTCGCGTTCATTAATACGAAGGGATCATATCCTCATGCTCTTATCAGTCAACTTAATTGTTCAGAAAAGTACTATTTCTATTCCATAATGGATACTTGCTACCCTTTACATTCGTTTGACTTCACTTCTTAAAAGAGAGCTTTGTCTGTAGTTTAACTAGACTCTGCACGCAGGGTAGATAATTGCCTGAGTATCAAGGGATAGCAAAAGATCATATTTTTGGTAAGCAATGTTAAAATAAATTTCGACTGAAACGAGGTCTTTTTTGGGTTATCATTTTATTTGATAAAATAATGTACAGAAAATATATGCTCAATTTACTAAAAGGAATCAAAACGTCCAATTAGTTTATATGATGGTTTTACTTAAAACGAGTGCACATCGAATGTTTGGGTAAACTTCGAGATATGTTTTATGGCTATGATCATTAAGTTGTATTCTTTGTAACCATCAGCGTCTTCTATTGACATGTATATATATATTATCAAATCATTGAGTACACAGACCTTCTCATTATCATCAATGAACAGTGAACGTGTCTGTACCACTGCCGCAAACACGTCAGAGTGAGTAGTAGCGAAACTGACGTTTATGGCGCACTAAGACATACCAATTGCCCGAACGCCAATATAACAGGTGCTTTCCTTGGCATTAGTCCCGAGCTCAAATCAACAGTTTATAATGTGGCAACAAGTTAGTCTAGGAAAACATTTCAAACAATGTAATTTATCATTCCGTTCAGCTTAACCATAGAGCATGAAAGATACACTTTAACTAGCGATCAACGCTTGCATCAAACCAGCAAAAACGACACATTGTAGAGAGGGGTGCGATAAAAAGGGACGAGATGATAACTTTGATGATACAAAGGCTATAAAAAGTGACTTCAAAAACTAAATTTTTCGATTGGATTCCAACTCAGGACTCTTAGTCCAATAAGAAGAATTCATATATAGCATTTCATTTTCGAGAAAATGCAAATCAGCATTAGCCAGCATTGATACAGCAAAACTTGTGTAAAAGTTGGAAATGTATTTCCTCTGCCCACCGGAAAAGCTTAATTGTAGGGCAGATCACCAACCATTATTTACCAAGCCAACTTTGCTTGTTGTGATAGGTGAAGAACATGAACAAGGGTGGACTGAGTCAGTGGTCTTAAATGCAACTCGTGCAAAAAGCTAGTAGTGTGGTTGTATTTGGTTGTATAACATGAGATAAAACAGGGCTTCTTTAAGGGGGGGGGGGGGGGGGGGGTCTTGGTATGCCTTCTTGTGATGTCTGAAATTATAGTAACCTACAATCAAAGCGAAAGTTTGGTCAACTCGTACATTTTTGAAACAAAATAAAAATAGATATTCATTTTTTCTTTAAGATGACTTGTAGTTATCATCACATTTCCTGCAAATCAAAATTCTTTTTCTTCAAGGGTTCATAAATTCGACCATGGTGGTTGTCTTTATCTTGGCCAAGTATCAATAACGTGCATGTAATCCAAATATCAATAACGTGCATGTAATCCAAGTATCAATAACGTGCATGTAATATCTTTCGCAGAACAATCATAAAAGTTAATCAAGCATTTTATTGTGTATCACAATATCATTAATCAAACACGATACTGCAAAACGTCATTAAGTACTTCTCGGTCAAATCTGCTCTGACCAAACTTGGGCAAAAAAGTGTTGAGTACGTTAGAGAGTTTAACTAATCGAGTGGAATTTATCGATAAATATCAATAATATTTCCTTATGGAAAGTACTGCTTGTTGCAATTATTGTTTTAGGACAACAGACTCAAGGCTGGTGTAAAAGGGTAGAGGGTCCTATTAATTTATGGTCATACTCTCCATTGGTTTATATGTTGACCTTTTTCCCTTATTATCTTATGCACAATCATGTCCAGTAAGGGCCTTTAAAAAGGGCCTAGGGGACCATAATCCCCGGGGACCATAATTTCTTTCACACTTGTGTCAATGTACAACAAACCATTGAAAGATGTAATACTGATATCTGTAAAATATGTTGTAGAGAATTCGATTTGGATTTTCCTCTAGGCTACATTTATCCATTTACACACAGGCCCGTGGCCAGCTTCCAAGGAGGAGGTTTACTTTTCAATTTGATAGAATTCATTTTTGTCATAATCCAAATTATGTTGATAAAGAAACAGAATAAGTATTCAAACATTTGTAGGCTCCACGCTGTCAATTGAATACCTTGGTTTCTAAACTTAAGAAGGGGACTGTATCGAGCTAAGCTGACTGTTAAGTCGACGTTATTCGAGATACTATTCATGTCCTATTGTATACCAACTATCACAAATAATAATTTTCATATCCTTTGGATCCATCTTTTTTGTTTACGTAATGTCTGTAACGTATTGCTTCAGCTGTTAAGCATCTTCATTGCGATGCAGCAACAATGAATATAACCATTCCTAGTCAGCTTTGTGTCTCCGTGTCGATGTTATTCTTGTGCAATATGTCTAGGTATATTCTAGCTTCCCAGTCAAAGACAAACATATGTACGAGGGGTGATCAATAAGTAATGGACGCTTTTCTACACAGATGCTTTTTATAGACCAATCCCTTCGATTTTCTTACCAGTGATACATCATTCAATTATCTATCAACTCTAGAGATTTGAAAACAAAACATGTAATATCTTTTGATATATCTTTATTTCAGTGAAGGATGTATAGGTACCCCGGGACCAACGTTTACGTCAAACATTCTGAAGCTATTTTAGCTTGTTTAACATGCAATGCAGGCTGAACAAAACAAACCATTATGGTCATGAATTACCCCATTTTTTATGCCATAGTTGATTTTGAATATTTTATCATCACTATGTGGTATTCATGCCACAATTATTCTCGTATTGTATTATGTGTTTAGATTTGTGGATTTGTGGCGAAGTCTTATACACATGAACAATTGTGAATGTATTAAATAAATGTTGGCAAACTCACGGGGTATCGTTGGTTCTTTATCTACAATAGATTTTGATTCACGAGAGTTACTTCCACCCTTCCATCCAAAAGTTTGATTTCGCTTGTCTACACTCTTTAAGTTAGAGATAAAACCCTCGTGACCGAGTAATTATAAATCGAGAGATTATTAAAACCACTTTCTCACTTACTAACTTATGCACGAAGTGGGACCCAAAAATCGTTTGCAAGTTATTACATTAACTTATTGTTAGCTTATACGACAAATGCTATTGTGCGACGAACAGTCGTTACACAACATAACGTAACGAAGTCGTAACACTACCGTACCCTGTACAAAGTATTTTTTACACGGCTAGAAATGAAAGCACCACGTACACCCCATCAATTAAACATTTCGATTATCTCACGATGGATAGGTCATTTGCCGGGATTAAATCTCAATAATGTTCCTTGATAATGAGGGGTCATTCTTATTTATATTAGCAGAGAGAATACTCATCACGACATATTCTCCTAATACACACCCATGTGGCTAGTTTATCTTTCTGAGAAAGCAAAGAAAATATATGTATATCCGATACAATAGAAGAACAAATACCAACCTTTGCGTTTGAAAAATGTTGAATAAGTTATTTGAAAGTAGCGATCCCTAGAGTCTAATTATACCTCATGTTCATATCATATGTTCACGCCGTTCCTTTATTTTGTATTTGCAGGGACATGCAGTGCTGATGTATTTGTCTGTCCCTTGGGGAAGTTCTCGTGTGGCAACCAATCTGTCTGTTTAGACCAGAATCGATGGTGCGACGGAAAGAGCGACTGCGACGCTGGTTATGATGAAATTCACGAAAACTGCCGTATGTACATGTATTTGCACAGGGGGAGTGTGTATTACCCGTTTACAGGGTAAGTCAAAAAAGGTAGCCAAAATCGTAATAACTTAGCTTGTATTCGCGAATGCAACTAATGGCTATCTGCTACCGGATTAACCTACTATTGTATGGGCAACTCAATTAAATATGAATAGTATACGCCATTATTGCATTCATATTTTAATGAGTTAATGAGTCATAAAATAAGAGGTTAATCCGGTAACCGCTAGCCGTTAGTTGCATTCGCGAATACAAACTTAGTCATTTTGACTCATTTAGCATGGGCTTTTTGTCCAATTTGGCAGAATTAAACCTTGTCCGATGTCTTTTCATTCTAATACGTTTCATTGTTCTATTTTCAATGTTCACAATTTTATGACTATTTTACAAAACATGCTCTGAATGCCAAAATATACCTAAATCACCCTATCACCCCCATGATTTTATTTTTGAGGTTATTAATTAAAGAAAGTGTGGAGAACTACCAGAGACCTTAAACAAGATATTAGAAGGAAAATGAGAGCCAATACACAAGATATATGTGTGTAATCAGAAAACGGGCAAGTGCATTGCATACCTGGGTATATCGAAAAGGAACAATGAGCCCATGCATTGCAAATTACATGCTCACACGTTCTCAACAAAACCAGTTCATCCAAGCGCACTTAAACTACGCGGTGGCTACCTTGTGGGCTACTCGCGTGTGTCAACCGCGCCGACTTTTTGCTAGTGCACCACAGGAGTTCGATTGCAATAAAACGTGATGTCCTTCAAAATAAGTATGTGAGTGTTAGTGCGCTTGGATGAGCTTTTTTTGTTGAAAATACATGAGCATGTAATGAGCACTGCGGGGCGTATTGTTCTTTTTGTGATGCCTGGGCAGAAACCTTCCGCAATTCACTAGCAACGCGGGCATACAAAAATACATTGTTAGTTGAATACAAGAACATTGAACAAGGTTCAGTTGTGCCAATTATTGGGTTAAACTCATGCTGGATGACTGAGTTATAAAGATTTTGTTTGGATTACCTTTTTGACTCACCCCTTATACTAGTAGTTATACCAAAAGATGACATATTATATTTGCAAAAGGGATGGGATGAAATTTACAAAACGTGGGCCCCTGTTACACTATTCTACTATTTAGATTCGTCCGGCCCCTGTATATGAAATACATACAAGTATGAAGTAGAATAAAACGGTTTCTAGACAACTCATCCCAAGACAGGTCATCCCTAAGACAACTCATCCCAAAGACAACTCATCCCAAGACATATCATCCCAAGACAACTCATCCCAAGACATTTCATCCCAAGACAACTCATCCGAAGACATCCCATCCCAAGACAACTCATCCCAAGACATTTCATCCCAAGGCAACTCATCCCAAGACATTTCACCCCAAGACAACTTATCCCAATTGTACAATTGATAAATTATTTTGCCCTCTATATTATATATATCCTTTTTTCATTTTTATGATTACAAAGTGATTTTTGATTACACACTCAATTTTAATACTGATTTTTAGCATTTTGAAATGGCACTTGAAAGTTATGTTCTACTTGTAAGTACTGCCGCTATTTTGATTAATTCTGGGATATTCTAAATATATTTGAAAATATAGAATTGAACATATAAGTCATAGACATTATTTCCAAATTTAATCATCATAAATCTGAAAGTTTGAAATTGGTAATCTTATTTAGGATTAAGCCCAAATATTTTAAAACCCCGGGTTTAAAACAAAGACTGAACTAATCTGAGAGAATTATTCTGATAGCACCTTGGATAATCAAAGTATATATTAATTTGAACATGTTTATCTTAATCCTAATCAGTCAACAAAAATTAACTTAAACTAGGTAAAACTAGAAAAAACAAAATACATAAATATTAAGTAAATACAGCATGACAAAATATGATATGTGTCAGTGTAAAATACAGCATGAGAAATGTATATAATAAAAAAACAAAGATATTCCATGACCAGTGTACATGTGCTAACTGCTAAAATCTCTAAATATGTTTCATTCTTTCAAAAGTGAAAATTAATTATATAATATTATGTTATATTTCAAGTCGGGAAGAGTTGTCCTGGGGATGAGTTGTCTTGGGATGAGATGTCTTGGGATGAGATGTCTTGGGATGAAATTGTCTTGGGATGATCGAGCCCATAAAATGGTGACAACAAACCACTACCAGCTTTTTAACGCTGATTCCCTAGTAGTAGTAAAATTAAAAATAATTGTATAATACATACAAAATGTACAATGCACTAAGAGTCGATTATATTATATATTATTTTAGAATTCACTGGAGGTACATATGACACAATTGTGAAGATTTTCGGGAATGATACCATAAGAACAATAAATCAGTCTTGCCGTAAGTACTTTTAATATTTTAATAAACTAAAAAATATCCCGAAGTATATTTAATTATTTTATTGTAAAATCGTAAATATGCACAAATTCCAAGTCAAAAATCAGACACATGTAGATATGAGCGATTGCCAACTTATTCATTGAAATTCTATTAAAAATATCTGAGGTCTTACTGTCATGTAAAATATAATTTTTCCCCATTTTTACACTTGAAACTTAAACAACTTTACCGATTCATATTATATCTTTCTCAAATATTGTATTTTGAGATTGTAAGGAATACATTGGTAGGTACACGCTGCTTGCAATTTTATCGCTCTGTGTAGATCTGATTATCACTTTATTGAACCAAAGAGAATATCATCCATTATTTTCATGTTGTGTAATACTAATCAAAAGTGCATTATGATGAGTAAGTATGATCGACCCCCCCTGGCCAGAAAATCTTTCAAAATCATGCAGTTTTCACCATTCTGAACATTTTTAAGTGATTTTGGCCATTTTGGACCAAAATTGTCACAAGTGAACCCCCCTGGAATTTTTCAAAAAGTGAACCCCCCTTGGCATATCCTGGCTACGGGCCTGATAGAAAACAACATTAAAACCCACCGGTAGAGGTGAATGCAAATGGTAAAATTTGGTAGTTTCCCTTGGGCCAGTTTGATGGACTATGGCTCCAAAATTGTAGGGGTTGTGTTGACATGTAGAATATTTTCAAGTATGAACTATTGACTTGATGTACCACAATTAATGCCGTTCTTTTGTTACAGATTTCTCGAATTACCCATCATTGTGCGAATGTAAAGAGGCTGTAATAAGCTGCAAAGAAAAGGGATTCACAAGATTACCGGTTGATCTTCCGAGTAATTTGACAAGGCTGTGAGTTAAAAGACGAAAATAATGATAAGCGAGACTATGATTAGTTGATGTAACTAGATTGACATGATTACACCATGCTAAATTGCAACATGTCATGCCATAACAACATTCTGATGTAACAGATTATGAGTGAATCTTTGTAATGAGAAACATATTTAAAACATGTAACATTTCAGAGCATATTGTTTATTCCATAAATATCCTGAAAGGTAAATATTACACAACAATAAATATATTACAAGTCATCAACATGCCAAATGTCACCAGCTGCCATTTGTTACATATGCTCAACTCCAACCACCACCAGTCGAATGACTTTAACAATTTATGTCACCACTAGTGGTGGTGAAATAAAAAAATCATGGCATGTCTATATATGTAGCTACTTCATTCTACTGAAACGGATAACGAAACGGATAACTGAAACGGATAAAAATATATATAATACATGTATGTGCGTACAATTGCAGTGTTTTTTCAGTAAACTATAACCATGGTCCTAATAATTTAGATCAACATATGTTATAATCATGATATATTTGTTTTCAAATTTAAAACGTTTATCACTTTTCCAGGATCTTCAAAGGTAACTTGCTTAAAGAGATACGTTCACATGCATTCCAACGGTTTTCCCGAATGACAGTTTTGTAAGTATGTCATACGTGAATTTGTTTTGAATATAGGAATAATCACTCCATTCATCATTTTTTTTGTTGATTTTATAGACATCAATACAAAGCAGACATATGCATAATACAAGATGATACAATCCCGGGGATACAATAGAATTCAGGGATAAACATTTATTTGATGATTGAGAAACCCATTTAACAAAATGAAGCTCCATTTATGAAAGTTGTATTCTACCTGAATATAATCAAAATCTAAGCACTAAGACTTCTGGCTGTAGTTGATTTTATGTTTTATATATTTTGCAGGCATCTTGGAGGAAATAAGATAGAGCGCATTGATAATGGTGGTTTTTATGGTTTAGACAGATTAGAGAAATTGTAAGAACATACAAATATTTCAGAAAATTATAAATTAAATGAACTCATCTTCGAATCCTATCATGTCATCGTTTATCATATCATATCATATCATATCATATCATATATAGTAACCAAGAGTTTTTGATAGAAAAATCCATTCATTACATTTGTACTTATTTACAGTGTTACGTTTGTTTCCTGTGTTACAGATTCTTACAAGGGAATAATCTAACAACCATAGAAACTGGAACCATAGGAAGGCTTCACAAACTAGAATGGTTGTAAGAAATGTATTTGTAATCCTGACGTCTTGTCAATAATCTAGAAACAAATTTGTTAAACGCAAGTGTCATTTCAACACAAATGATTTAAGTAACGGAGAACTCATAGTTGAAGATAAAGACCAAAAGGTCAGTATCATTCTGATACTCATAGCATCTTTCTGTTTCACCTGAAACATCAGGGCTGAGAAGAACTGAAAATGTCATGGTTTATCATGATGGTCATGATTGGCATTTTACAATTTTCACTTGTAGATGGCTGAGTGAGAATAAACTGCAGAGTATTGCAATGGATGAGTTTAAATATACAAATCTGATAACAATGTAAGAGTTTAAAGTATTTCTTTCCTAAGTATTTGTGAATTTCACTAGCTATTGGCACGTATGGTTGTTTAATATAAACTTGGCAACATTAACAAAATAAAGAATAAAAACAAATGCACAGAGACCATTAAGGATATTTTTACATTCACATTAAAACAGAACAAATAACTAATGCTTCGTTTATACTATGAAGCAAAGTTATTATTCAACTCTACTTTGCTACCTTTTTAAAATCAGTATATATTCTGAATAATTTACTTTGTATTATAGCAATCTAAAATGGAACAAACTCACTCAAGTAGAGACAATGGTTGGTCCAGCGAATGGAAATCTAGCTGTCTTGTAAGTATATCACTTAACGAATCCATCAAGTTTCAGGTGAGATCTACGGGGAATTCATGATCAAACCCAAAGTGGGGGGGGGGGGGTGGATAGACCAGAGATTCAGATATCAGTAGAATACTGTTTTTAATACTGAATCTATTGATTAAAAATATTATCTTGTTTTGAAGCTTTCATTGAGATGGTATACAGTTGTTAATTGTCCCAACAAAATGGGAATAATTCCTTATGAGTTAGGAACGAATCCATACATGTACATTCACCAGAACGCTGAAAAATGTTCATAACTCGACATGGAATGATCCCACAATGCTGAGTCGCTGACCTTGGTTAATTCATTGATTCATAAGTTTATTCCCAAATCAATAATGATCGATATTGATCAATCCATATTTTTGGGGAATTTCAGGTTCCTAGACAACAACAAAATCCAGCGTCTTTACAGCACACAATTTAGAAGCATGCAGAATCTCCAAACATTGTGAGTATTTTTTGTAATAGAAGTAATTGTAATTTTAATCGGTATATGCAGATGTTTATGTAGACAATGCATAAGCTGTGAAGGACCTAAGTTTACAACATTGTATTGGGAATGCAGCCTGGTATTAGAAGGTATCTATCAAATGACTCTTCTCAGTATGTGTAACTTTTGCGTGTTAGCAATCCAGAAGTGACGTTATTACTTATACGTCTTTGGCAATGATCATTGTGATACTTAAATACTAAATAAATAAATAGATAAATGAAAAAGCCTCCATGTTACTCTTAAATTCGCTTTAAGGATATTGATAAGATTGCCCTTGGCAAGCTCGTTTCCAAGCCCTAGTGCCAATTAAAACAATTCCTTCTAGATCGATTGTCCTAGAAGATCTCAAATATGTTTTCCCTACCTATTTTGATACTGGGATTTTAAATTTTGATTTGATTACAGAACATTGTCATATAATGACATAAGCTATATCGCCGAAGATGCCTTCAAGAACCTTCCTTCCCTGACAGATTTGTAAGTAATAATAAACGTCAATGAAAAAGATGAATTGAGTATTTGCTTTGCCCAATATCAAAGGAAATTTTGCAGACAGTTCTTGTTTCAATTCTAATAATAGCATAGCTAATAGCTATGTAGGTATACATTCATGTATATACCATGAAATGTATTTATTTTTGAATTACCCTCTAATGTATGTAGTCTTATGTAATTCATAATAATTCATGTAACTAAAAAATTTTAATGTAACTAAGTGACTTAAGACAAACATAAAAATCTGTACAATTGCATTTGATATTTACAATGAATTTCCATAAAGATATTTTTATATTTTTACAGATAATATGGTTAGATTATAGTTGAAATATGTGCTTGTTTTGTTTTGTAGAGATTTGGCCTGGAATAAACTGACACGACTTCATCGTAAGGTTTTTGAGCCACTTACAGAGTTGCAGCTGCTGTAAGTTCTGTTTTATTGTTGTATTTCATTCACCAGAGTTTATATGTTTTCAAATTATTTGATATGTTCGCTTATAACTATGTATTAGAATTATTGTATATATGATATTCGGACCATTCTAGATAATGACATTAATTTATGGTGTAATGGACACCCCCACCCCTCAAAAACAGAAAAAAAGAAATATTGAAAAATTTGTTGAAAAAACACTGACAAATTATAATTTGAAATGCTTAGAATGCACCATATACAATGTAAATAAAAGAAACTCCCGTATCCTTTTTGGGGCTCACTTCTCTCTCACTGTGCAAACCCCAAAACGCACCATTTTGACAATTGCTTGGTACGCCCCTGCGCTATATAATGATACTAGGTTTTGTCTTATAATGTTTTGCAGAGACTTATCAGGCAATCCAATCATTCTACAAGTGAATGGATTCTCAGGTCTTCAGAAGTTAGAAGTACTGTACGTAAAGTATTTGTATCAGTAAATACTTCTTTCATTGTTTTCTTGACTCGAAGTTCTTCGAATTATGAATTAAGTAATAAATAAGTAAATATTAATATGATATTGTTTGCAAAAACTGAATTCAAAGACTTTAAATTGACACAACATGTATTTGCATTATATCGATCAATTTATTTTTTGAACTACCCTTCAGTGCATGTAGTCTTATGCAATGCTTAATATGTATTGTACATTACAGGAAGTTAGGAGCAATCTCAATTGATAACATTCAAATAAAGATGTTTTCATCTTTACAGAGCTTAAAATTCATGTAAGTGTACTTTCTTGTATATTCTAAACAGTGGTTTACAAATCGTTACAGTATACGCATAACATAACTAATGACGCCGTCTTAAATCATGAAAAAACTAGATCAGAATATTCATGAACGTGAAAAAACTAAGTTTTACAGCCAGATATTCTCAATCTTGGGACGGTGGGAAAAGGTGAACCCTCATTGCTAATGGGACAGCTTGCCTACCTTTACCTTTACGCTTCAGAGAGTTCAAAGACTTTCACTACTGTAGTTACGCTCCTCATGTTCGGAGTTGTGATCCCAAGGGAGACGGGATATCCTCATTCAACAATCTCTTGGACAATCCTGTCCTTAGGATCAGCATTTGGATTGTGGCTTGCTTTACATGTGCTGGCAATCTGGCTGTGCTCATCTCCAGAACGCTCATAAAGACAGATCTGAATCTTCATTCTATAGTAATCAGGAATTTATGTGGTAAGATTGCAGATTACCATTCAACGATGCAATGTTTAAAACCTCTTGAATACCAGAACATTTGACATTTTTTCTTTACTTTTTAATATAACTGAACATTAACCAATTTTGATACATATTTTGTGCATGTGTAAATACATAGAACAAACCTTTTAAAGTTAGAAATTCTGTAACTGATATTTACATCACTTTAAGAATTCAATTTTTAAATGTAATTGGGAGTTAACCATTGATTTTCCAAAAATGTGATGTGACTGTTTAAAGAATTGCTTATTCGTACTTTTTTCAATAAATCAACTAATGGTTTTGAAACACGAAGCCTAATTATTTAAGAGAAAGTCAAGTCCTTGACTCAATCAAGGGTCATGCAAAACACCATTGAAATTAATTAAAAGTGTCTGTACGATGTTTTAAGAGACATGCGTGTAATAATGTCTTCTAAATGTATGTATCAAGAAACATACAGACCAAACAAGCTTTGTATATATTTTGCTTGTTATATTAATGTAACTCTGGTATGTATTACGATGTGACTTTTTAATATATTTGTAGAATAAATGAATAATTGTGTCAATTGTTTTTCAGCTGCCGACTTACTAATGGGCATATACTTAGTAATAGTAGCTGCTCAAGACGTCAGGTTCCGCGAGACCTACAACTCGCACGCATATGAATGGATGTCTAGCCATCTTTGCCAAGTTACAGGAGTACTTGCAATGATATCTTGTGAAGTTTCTATACTCATTCTCGTGTTTATGTCCGTAGAACGTTACGCTACAATATCATTTCCATACAGGACTTTCCGTATGTCTTCAAAGCTAGCATGGATCATTCTATGCTCGCTATGGGTGACTGGGCTTCTCATTGGAATCATTCCTCTGACTTCAGAAAATGCATTTGGGAAGTTTTATGGCAGTAATGGAGTTTGTTTCCCGCTTCATATACACGATCCATATCTCAAAGGATGGGAGTATTCCGCTTTTATATTCATTGTATTGAACTTTACCAGCGTTGCGGTGATAGTGTTCTGTTACGTCGCTATGCTGTGTAGTATTTATAAAACTCAGCGTCTTACTGAATCAACGTGTGCACAGGAGAGGTCGTTCGCGAAAAGAATTCTCGTTATCATCCTCTCAGACCTTATGTGCTGGGTCCCTCTCATCACAATAAAGCTCATGGCATTTGGTAGCATTAGGATATCAGGTAAATTATGTATGGTTCCTTTTATTATGATAAAGAATGGTTCTTTATTAAAGATTATGATATGCATTTGTGATCATCATTGTGATGTGTGAGGTTATGGTATTTCATAACATATGAATATCATGTCAATTTACAATCGTCTTTTCGCGTAAATCATTGCTCCTTTTTCTTCCAAAAAGGCTTTCCGGAATCTTGATAAACCATGATGGTGTACATAAGTAGACATACGTATGTGTTTCAAATACTAAAGCGTTGAAGAAGCAAGCTTCAAAAAATCTGCAATAGATTGAATATACACCATGAATAAAATTGATTTCAGATAGCATGTATGCCTGGTTGGCCATCTTCATATTACCAATAAACAGTGCCATCAACCCTATTCTCTACACATTGACCATAGTCTCGTTCAGACGAAAGTTCCTCCAATTTTGGAGAAGAAAATATAGGAGTGGAAAGACCAAACACTGCTCAAGGTTCCAAATGGGTCGTCTAGGTGAGTTAGACTTGCATTTGATACCTAACACCTTGTGGAATGACATGAATAGCTAATTACGGTAACATTAATTTTCCTCGAACAATCATTAAAATGGCAGCAACAGCTAACAGTAACATCTACATGTATGTTCCTTAATATATCACTAAAATGGCATCAACAGCTCGCTCATTGTAACATTTATATTCCTTTGAAAAATAAATTAAAAGATATGAACATCTTACAGTAACATTTATGTTCCTTGAAAAATCAATTAAATGCTATGAACAGCTTACAGTAACATTTATATTCCTTTGAAAAATCAATTAAATGCTACGAACAGCCTACAGTAACATTTATATTTCTTTGAAAAATCAATTAAATGATATAAACAGCTTACAGTAACATTTATGTTCCTTGAAAAATCAATAAAATGACATTCAAACAGCTAACAGTAACATTTATGTTTCTTGAAAAATCAATAAAATGACATTCAAACAGCTAACAGTAAGATTAATGTTCCTTGAAAACAGCTAACAGTAACATTTATGTTCCTTGAAAATTCAATAGCTAAGAGTACATTAATGTTCTTTGAAAAATGATTGAAATGGCGTCAATGGCTAACAGAAGCATCTATATTCCTTTAACATCAATGAAATGACATTTAGATATCTAACAGTAACATTTATGTTCCTTGAAAATCAATAAAATGACATTTAAACAGGTGACAGTAACATTTATGTTGTCGTGAAAAAATTAATGGAATGACATACAGCTAATATTTATTATCCCCATGTCAGTGTTGTAAGGATGTATGGATGAATATAGTATTTAAGCACAGTTTGTTTTTATCATGACAAACAATTTTTAAATTGACATAACAATAAAAAGTAGCATTGCTCGTTGTTGTAAAGAATAAAATATCGAGGTACATAGAGGATATCCTATGATTTTTGAGGGATATAATTTTATCCATGAGTTGATATAGCAGCAAATGAGTGGAGATGGGCGATATCCCCGAGTGGATAAAAATAATAGCCCGAGAAAATCATTGGATATCTTTTTTATATTATGGTTGCAGATAATTGTAATTATTCAAATCCTTTGGAAAAATGGCCATCACATTTAGTTTTTCACCTTGGTTTAGAAATCAATTCAATGCTAGTTTTTTCATTGTGTTCGGGTCCTAAACCGAATAAAGTGATTGCATGAAAACATTTAAATCATTTTAATGAGCACATAATGTTGAACTATATTCTGTAATTTTTTCATTTAGGCAAGGCTGTTATTTGTCAAACAATTTTCGGCGATAAATTTCAAAACTAATGAAACAATAGTATCCGTCGGATACGATTGGATATCACGTCGTATCAGTCGGGTACGATTTTAGTGGCACATACCAAAATTATCTTGTGACGTTATCCCCATATATATTCCGTATCCATAGGATAAAGCCCTTTATTCCATAGTTAGCATGATATTCATAGGATAACATGTGAAAATAAAAACGGTATTTTTGGAATCAGTGGTAAAATATGATATTTTTGACAAATTTTCACTTAACCATAGCATACGATTTTTTAGCCATGACATACGACGTCGTATGCGATGGTTTATGGATTTTTGCTACTTCAGACTCAAAACGAGGCTAAGTGTCAACATCGCCGGATCGTTTGGAAAATTCGAATTAAATGACTTAATTTCCGACGATTCTGATGATGACTTTAACTATGGAATAAAAAGAACATCCTATGATTTACTCGTGATATGATTTTAATCCACTCATGGTTATTAATATCTGCACTCTCTCGCTACGCTCGCTCGTGCAGATATCATATCCATTCGTGGATAAAAATCATATCACTCATAAATCATAGGATATCCTCTATGTATCTATATATGTATGCATTTGACAGAATATATAATTGACAGTCAGAATGACAAGGTTATTTAACAATTTCCCATTTTTTATAAAGCAAACTATGGACTCAGTCCAATTCTATATAGAAAAACAAAAACATAATTCAGTGACTAAAAATATGTATATTTCGGATTAAATGTGGCCTAACAATCAAATGAGGTTGTAATCCACGTTTGGCAAAGCTCACGGATATCTGACCTATTGTATAGTGATTGACTCAAGTTAACTTAATAAACTAAATGACTTTAGGTCGGAGCTTTACTGCACGTTACACTCCATATTCTACATATACAAGTGATTGATAAATTGCACTCTTGTCCATTGTTTGCTTATTTTAACTTTATCATTTTGACTGTACACGTATACAGGTAGTGATATATATCACCCTTGCATGACCCGAATTAATGCTCCATTTTTTGATATCTCCACAGCACACGACACGCTACCACGTAAAATCACGCCTGGCACATCATTGCTGACATCTACACACGGCAAGCTTTGTGACTCCTGTTCAAATCCCTTTACACTCTCATCATCTGTTAGTCGTTCCATGAGTTGCAGCACGCGCTCTTCTAATGATGTCACACTCGTAAATGACTGCTTGCTACCTCGATCATGTTGTTAATACCTAGGTAAGGGAAGAGGATATAGAAGCCCAGTAGTACTATTGTTTTTTAAATCAAAGTTTAAGTAGCATTAATGCGGCATACACTGTATGTCAATTATTTTAGAGTAAGTTCTGGGGAAATACGTCTTAACATCCAAACGATGGATGACACCATTTTGCACCTAGACATTGACTGCTCCTAGACTTCGACCATATAGTAGGGACGTACTATCTTAATATCGAATATCTTAATTAATCTCAATGCCAAATATCCTGAATATCTACTAGAAGTCTTCGTTTAAATATAATTTAGAATGGAGTGCAGGACATTTGGGCCTTTTTCATAATTTCGTATTGAACCAAAATAGACTTCCGACGAATTTCGTGTAGAGACATGATTTACTCTGTCATTGCATTTGCTTGTTTATTCTGTCTGGGAATAAGCAGCTTCTCAGTTGCATAAAATTAGAAAATTATTCTTAAAACGACCTGCCTTAGACGTTGACTAAATCAGGCGATGACATCACGTGATAATGAAACAATTTGTTTGAATTTCAGGAGAAACGCATAGTAATTATAACATAAAAAGGCCTGTATATGTTGTTCAATGGGTGAATAAGGCGTTTCAAACTGATTGAACACGTGCGGCGCGACTGACAGCTGCTCAAAAATAGGATTCTCTTGAAAGGATAAAGTAGTGACCAGCTTGGCCCATAGTACGTACGTAGTAGTGCTAGGAATTCGGGGTATATTTGTTGCTATGGCAACAAGTTATATAACTGACCACTTAATTCTATGTTTTAAGTGATAACTGGAGGAATTATTATCAGATTGATTAAAACTCATACAGCAGTGATCGCCCAAATTTTGAGGAATATTGGTTACCATGGCAATGAATTAAGGGACACATAGATAAGTTTAACACTAATACTTTGTAAAATCTTCTGTTTACACGTTGTCATAATTGCCTTGCTTGTAAGGAATAAAGCGCCCTCTGTCATTCATTATCTAAGCTTTAAAAGCATGAGTGCGTGTACTTACCCATAAATGTACAGTAATGCACAAGGGTAGACGAAGCCCGAGTAAAATTTAAAATTAATGCATGCCTGGATGTTTTTGAATTTCTCAATTAATAAAGGTGTAGCTTTCTTCATCGCTATTCAAATAAATTATGACATCTTTCGATCACCTTAAATGGCACTCCCCAGTTATTTATAAAACAATAAAGCACTGTAAGATGCTCAGTTGAAAATCTATATGTGAATTAATGCACTGAAGAAGTCAAAGCTTATTGGCTGAGACGCACTTGGTGGTGTATTGAGATGAATTTTCAAAGATGATATTCAAGTGATATTTGATTGGCATCGCTTGTGAAACTGTCACAGGTATTCCTGAAAACAAAATGAATGAGTACCACGGGCATAAGGCTACTGTTGTACGTTAGTTTTATAATTTAAGTCAAAAAGTTGTCTAGTGTTATAGTTTTCCCGTGTTTCGGTGGCCCATTCTGCCAACGCCCTTTGCGACATTGGTGATTTAACACCTGTTATAGTACCTGTTGATTCTCCATTATCATCATTAATTATTTTATTAACAGGTTCCAGCAGCCTATCTTCAGCGACAAACACATTCAATTTGCCTGGTGACATATCCCCACCTACCTTCCGAACTCAACTTAACCCGTCAATTTCATCAGAAGACGAGTCAGCTGAAAACATTGGGAAGTTACAAAACTTATTGGCAGAATCTAACGACCAGGAACATACAGTATGAAGCAGATATATATGCCAGGCGGATAAGTGTACCTAGTTCTGACTGTTACATGAGAAATGAAAAAGATTTGCGCAAGTCCTGGACTAAAATCAATCGATGATATATTGTAATTCTTATTTATTTATCCTTTATAACTAAGATGTGTGTGTTATATGTTATTTTAAATGAATGTTTATGTGTAGTTCCATTTATGTGTACTTGTAGTTCCATTTCACGTTGTACGCACATTGAGGAAATTTTCCTTATTTGCCATTTTTTCATAATTTTTATTCTTATTTAGTTATCCTTTATATATTAGGAAGTGTGTTTTATTTGTTATTTAACGTGAATGTCTATGTACGTAGTTCCATTTATGTGTAGCACCATTTTCATGTTGTAGCATATGAGACCACGGCCATTTAGGTAATTTTCCTTACTAATCATATTTCCTTATTTTTATTCTTATTTATTTATCCTTTATAATTAAGAAGCGTGTTCTATATGTTATTTAACGTGATTGTTGATGTGCAGTCCAATTCATGTGTTGTACCATTTTTATGTAGTACCATACGAGACTACGACCATTTAGGTAACTTTCCTTAATAATCATATTTCATCATTTTATTCTTATTTATTTATCCTTTATGATTAAGAAGTGTGCGTAATATGCTATCCAAGCTGAATGTTTACGTATAGTTCCATTTACGTGTAGTACCATTTAGTGCCAAACAAGACTACGGACATTTAGATAATTTTCCTTCATGAAATCTTGATAATTACAGAATTAGGAATGATTTATTCAAATCATTGCTCCAATACAAATAAAAATCATTACTTTCGGTTAATTCCAGTTTACGATAATGCTAATAATACACTAAATGTATTACAGTTAAAGTGCAATGTCAGTACAGAACAGTATAGCACACAGTAAAACCTGTCGAAGTGGAACATCTTTGGTACCTCTAAAAAGTGTTCCACTCGAGAGGTGTTCCACTTATAGAGGTTCACTTAACATTAATGCCCGAGTCACATTTGCTCCGATTCATCGGCCGGCGCATCGGCCGATTGAATATATCGTTCACAATTGTATTCAGTTTTGAACAGAATACTCCGGCCGGGCGCCGGCCGATGGATCTGAGCAAATGTGACCCAGGCAAGCAGTCAGTTGGTCTCGGGACTCTGACTCTGGACTCGGAGTATTCCACTTACAGAGGTGCTTCGCGTATAGAGGTATTCCACTTCACAAGTTGTACTGCACTATTTTAATCCACCTGAGTGACCTCGGGTATTTACCTGAACTATCTGTCAAATGTAGAACTAATGCAATCGAGTGTCTTCACAGATATTCTTTTAATAACTCTTCCTTTGTAATAGTAGAACAAAGTATTTTTCAATTTTATATTATCTGTTTAGTGAAAATCTTAATGTTTTTATTTAAATTATTTATTCAGCGTGTTGTATTTATCTTATTATGTAAATGTATTTATCATACCAGCTTTAATCTATATTATGTATATTTTAAACAGTGTAGTGTTTATATGTAGCTCATTTAATGTATTTATTTTTTTAATGTATCCACTATCCACCTACTGTACATCTGTAATAACACTACATTTGAAACGACACTAGTTTTGTACTATCACTACATTTGTGATGACACCACCTTTGTAATGACACTACAATTGTAATGACACTGCCTTTGTAGGGACACTACCTTGTAGCGACACTACAATTGTAATGGAACCAACTTTGTAATGAAACTACATTTGTAGTGACACCACCTTTATAACGACACTACATTTGTAATGACATCACCTTCACCTTTGTAATGACACTACATTTGTATTGACACAGCCTGTGTAATGACACTATATTCGTAATGCCACATCTTTTATTCTATCACTACATTTGTAATGACACTCTGTGGATTTCACGAATTGTGCAATTTTTAATCAAATAATTTATTATATTGCACTTCATGAATATTGTATATATCAACATAATACTAGAAGGTCTAAAATATTTGTTTAAAAATATTAATTAACTCATTGACACAAATATTGAATCAGGGAGTTTAAAAAGCAGTTTCATTATACAGTTCCATGTAAGTCTAGGATAATGTAATTTCAATCTTCTACAGTATATAAGATTCAGAAAAATGGGATAGGTGTATACACTGTATAGGTCTTCAATAAATTAGTTACTCTAGAGAAAAAACATTGATATTTTGATCCTGCCGATCTTGGCCTGGCCCTGCTGCTCCACCATATGTTTCATTTATTGTTTTGTAAACTTAGAATAATGCTCATTAATATAAATGACACTTCCTGTTTCTTTGTAAGATGTTTTGTAAATAAAAATGCTAGCATATTTTATCAAGATGCTGTTTTGTGTGTGTAAAATTTGAAACAGAGAGTGATAGAATCAATAGTGACAGACTTGAAATACATGACTTTGGGCCAATATATTTTACCAAAGTGATTTTGTTTATTGGGGTTATGAATGGCAAAGGACTGTGAGGGGGGGGGGAGCTTGTACTAACCCACCTTTGCTAGAGTTGGACTTTAAGCTTATATGAATCTATTGATGGGGGCTTATGTCATAACTGGTCATGGGTACTTTTGATCACTTAAGCAGCGATTTGAAATTTTCAGGGAATTAATTCAACTGTTTTATATCACCTAGCGATGCGATTAATAATCCAGTGAAGACCCGGAATACATATGGGGAATATATAATAGTCAATATTATTGCCCACTCATTTGGACCATTCAGAATCAAGTTTTTCAGTGTCATTAATTATAAAGGTGGCAATAATGATTTTGAAAATTATGAAGTATTAAATAGAAACTACTAAAAAGATCATATATTCTTTTTCCTATTTTGTTTATTGAATCTTGACTTTTGCATATTTAAACAAACAACATTTATTTTGTATTTCAAATAATGCCAACCAATTTACCGGCAAATTGTGTCAACAGACAAATAACATTTACTGGTTGAAAAACTTTTAAGTCTTATTAGCTAATTCAAATTAACCGATTGTCTTATCAAATAAAAATGCATTCCAAAATAGTTACAGGGGTTTCACTAGAATTTCTCACAACAGGCTAAGTAAATGAAAACAACAGGCAAAATTAATGGAAATCATAAAAACATGGAAAATTAAAAAATCCCTAAAAACAACAGGCGATTTTGTGAAAACAACTGGTGAAAATCGCCTGTTGTCTGCTGCTAATGAAACCCCTGCATAAACTACAAAATAGATCACCTTGGCTCTGTAAGCATTTTTCATTTTTGCCATTTTGTTTCTCAGTTTTTAAGGTAGACCCATAACAAACAAATTATGAGGCTTTAACATGCAAAATGTCATCACCTGCCACTTAATACAGATGCCGAATATTAACAACAACCACAGAAAAGTAGGAGACTATAACAATATGGTGACATAAAATTGAGTGAATTGGATAAAAATTGTCAAAATTAAAGCCATTTTGGTGAAGTTTCTATGATTGTGAATATTCTCAAGTTGCTCTGTGTATTCAAGAGAAGTATTTACAAATATTTTCCACATATTACTTAAAAGGCCCATAGGCTACAATAGATTGCTGATTGTCACTCATATTCTTGGTTTTAATAGTGATTTTTAAAGGCACCTACTTGGGCCTACCATTTTGAATATAAATTCCAAATAGCCTTCAAAACATAGTAACCCTATATAACTTTGCCAGTAAAGGAGAAATCATAAGGTCAACAATGATTTCAATACAATAAACTCATAACACATCAATTATTAATTCCATTCTAAATAAATGTTGTCTAATGGTATCTCGCATTTTCTCCTATACCTGTAATGTTAAAATGACCTGTTTGAGGGTATTTTTTAATTAAAGTAGGCCATTATGACAATTCTAACTATCAGAGATCCAAATTCTGCAATAAATGGATCCAAACATTAAGAGGTAGTGTACATAAGTATAGCACCATAAGATAATTTGTGCTTATTCTTTATTTAATGGAAGAGGAACATACAATATCAGCGCTTGCATTAGGTTAGAAAATTTGTGAGTCCCAAGGACGCAATTTTTTTTAAAAAAGTGTGTCCTTTGAAAAAAAGTGTGTCCCCTATTTCTAGCCTGTTTTGGGGTATAACTTTATTTTAAAAGCATTTTTACCAAAACACCTTTCAGTTTCTGATTTCTTGCCGCGAATTTAAAACGGAAGTAAACGTTAAGTACGGACTGAATAAATGCATGTTCGTTCATTCGACAATGAATACATTTTATTTGATGAATAACCTAATATTTGTTTCTGAATAGGAAAAACTGTGGCGTGTCATGGTTTCAAATCTAAAAATAAACAAAGTCGAAAAAATTCGAGAGAATCATGATTATTTGTAAATATTCAACATGTTGAGCCTTATTTATGATTCAAATAAAGGTGAGAGATCATAATTATTTGTTTTTGTTAGGTATTGTTGTAAACACATTGTAATATTGACCTAAAAAAATTTTGCGTCCAAAAAACGGATGTTTAAATGGTACATGACTAAATGCATATTGTGAATTTAATGACTGTCCTTTATGTTGCAATAAACAATGACTTTAATAAATACTTTTGGAGCAAAAATAAAATAAAAACAGAAATTACAGTGAATGTTAACATAAACTTGATAAAATCCACAGCAGTATAGTTTCTATCTACAGTACTCTCAAGTTGATGGCTATATGCTATATCTGTAAAAACTCTAATTTGAGCTCTTGGTATAAAAATTGATACAATCATAGTATGTATTGGTGCATCTCCCCATCGTGCTAAATAAATGCCTCCTGATTGGTCGATATATTCTATAATGTCTCTGACTTGGGAGCTCCGCCAAAATTCCAGTGACGCGATTTCGAAATTGTTATAGATCTGATCTACAGGATCACTCCAGGACCATTCATTGAAGAAAGTTGGCGTCAAATTATGAGTTTTGATATAATGCGTAAAATTGTTTTTGAGTCCTAGCACACAATCATCTCTTTCCTGAGAGATTAATGCATAGCCATATTTGTAGTTCTGATTCTCCATATGTTTAAATATATCATAATCAATGTGCTGAAGAATATTAGAGTCGTCATCTAGTCTCCAGTACCATTCAGCTGTGTGCATAATTTCTGTCTCAAACACCAACTTGGTGTGAAATCGGCACATGTGGCGGTATCCAATATGACTAGGGTACGGACAAACTTTCATATAATCCTCAGCAGGTTTCCGTAGAAAATCAGGTGTACTAAAGCTGACCTCATGAAATATTATTTCAGCAGATGTAGAAAATCGTATTGCTTCTTTATCACTTTGCGTCAAATCAGGCTCATGAAATAAAACAACAGGATATTTAAATCTCTTTATAAAGAACTTATCCAGCTGTTTTAATGTCTTGATAAATGTAGAGTAAATCCGAGGCTTAAATAGGAGAAAGTATATCACAGCTTTTGGTTTATCGTGTGGCCAATTGTTAAACAGGTATCTGAATCGTTCAATCTCAGACATTCCTTCTATACCAGGGACGGAAACATGTCTGTTATGCTGCCATAACATTGAGCTGTAATAAGGCACTGTTATAAAAGTATATGACGCAATAATGAGAATTATAACCACAGCAGCAATAATTTGATTTTTACGCTCCATGTTGTCGCCGAATGCTGAATGAGCTCAATGAGTTCTGGTCCAATGACCTCGCAAGTCACCACCACTAGGTCACTACCTTGATGTGCTAGGTGGATCTAACTTTGATGGGACTTCACAATCTGACATGTTGGTTGTAGGCTGTTCTACTAGCCTACAGTGCAGATTCTTCAACACTCCAACCTGTAATAAATTAGAAGTTATCTGAAATAAATATGATTCATGAGCAAAAGTCTAGTTTTTATAGATTCTGAATCTTTTCAAAAAGGAATAAGAGTGGATCTGCCTGTAAGATTGGCCTGTACTCTCTTGTTACATGTACTTCTCATTACTGAAGAGCCTGTGATTCTAACACAGTCAAGTTTACCTCTTTCAAAGTCTGTTGACCAGGTCTGATACACAAGGACATTCCTTTGCTCGTCCCATATCAGCTGCTGGAGAAATGTGATGACTGAAACTGAAATCAGCTGAGCACTTACTTTATATCTCCAAATGTTTCCTGCTTCTGTGCCAATCAGGGCTTCTCTTTATCCTCAAGTGGATATTCTATTTTACTGAGAAATCAAAATGGCGGTTTTAAAAGAAATTCACGAAGTATAGCCTTTGGAGATTATTGAATGAACTTAAAAAAAATTCTGGTAAGAGCTCTCAGTAAATTTCCATCAAACTGCCATTTTGATTTCTCGCTAGAAAATGTCCACTCGGGGATAAAGACAAGTCCTGATCGACACAGCAGCAAATGGAGGGCAGTAATGTGGAAAACATGTAAGTAGCTGATTTCAGTTCAAGCCGTCATGATTCTTAGGCAGAAGATAAGAGCAGCAAAGGATGTTCTATCAGATCAGTCAGCCTTTGAAAGAGGTTACAGTGAGCAATATCCATTCTAAATACTGCTAAGTAGTTATAGAGGTTGTCTTCCATGTTGGCCAATAGGCTTACTAAAATGCCAGTCTGCAATGCAATATTTATTTCAGTTGATGCATTCAAGTTCCTGTGAAAAAAATTCTGCCACAATTGTGTGAAGGCTAAACAAATACAGTAATTATCAGATTCATCATGGGCTTTATTATATGAATGATAGGATGGGGCATTATATCTAAAATATTAATAAGCTGATAATTACCTGCATTCCCACTCGTGGGCAAATCAAAGTTTTTAACTAGTTTTTGTTCATGGCCGCAGCCATTTTTATTTTGAAACACTTCAATGAGAACTTTTTTGATTGGCTTATTCTCTACTATTAATTGGTTTTGGACCAATCAAAAGGGATTTTTGAAAATGGGTTTGGAAACTTAACAAGAAAAAGACCCGGATATAAAAACAGGTATGAAATTTGCTAAATTCTAATTTGTGGTCTAATTTGTTAGTTTATTTAACACATTCGGACTGGGTGATGGGAATGTTGACACAGTTTTATTCAACCAAGTCAACTTATGCTATTTGGGCTTAATATACTGACAGTGGCACTACTTTTAGATCGTCTTTAGGGAAGAGACTTGGACGGGTCATCATCACAGAAATCACAGATTTCGTCCAGTGTTTATATCGAAATCATCGGGGCTATGGATAGGTAATAAGACAAGAAACCAAGTAACGAAAGAAACTAAAGTACATATTTGATTACCTGATCTCTGCCATTTATTCATCCAGATCATAGGCCAAGGGAAAAGTAATAGTAAGCTGTATATAGAAGAGACAGGTCCACAAGTAAGATTGAAAATTTTTCAAATTTTTTTAGTCTTGGCACTAGTTCTCCTTACTGGTATCAAATTGTATTCCCAAATCTCTCCAAAATCTTCTTCAAAGTGTTTTTCAAACTTATATCATTGTTTTTTTCAAATCTTTATCTAAAAACTGCATATAATACTGCATATAAAACAACAACTATGGATACCTGCAATTGCCTGCGGCTATTTCACACTATTGTGCGCAAACTGTACCTTGGTCTTGTTATAGGACTCAAACAGAAAACTTAGTTCACTTGCAAAGTATTTTGTCATGTTATAATACTTGGATATAACCAGTCTTACTTCCTACAAAATTCTGTGTTGATAGGTCTGATGGTTTAGGAGTTATGGCCCAATTATATACGTTGAAAGCTGTAAATTTCAGCGTTATGTTGTTGCACTAAATTTTTCCTTAATCATAACGTAATAATATCTTTATTATTCAATTTTCAGATCTTGAACTGTTTAGTTCTGTTGAAAAGTGTATTTAATTTCCTGCATTTTACAATTTATTTGATAGAAATCTGATCATTAGATCATTTTTAGTGGCTTTTTCAAAAAATGTCTTCTTCGTTATGGAAAATGCCATTTTATCTATTGTACAAATTTCACAAGGTAGAAAGGAAAATGTAATGGTCAGATTATACATCTGTTGCCTTGATTACACACTCTCATACATATTACATGAAATATAAAAGTTGCATGAAACACAAGTTTCTTTTCCAGCAGCAGTAGTAGATTTTGTAGAAGTTGGTAAAAGTGTAAAATTTCCTGTAGTGTCCGTAGCCCCCTTGCTTTAAAAGGTTTGAATGGGAGTATCAAACAATGGGTCTCTATTTTAATTGCTCTCATCTTGGGCTACATTTATGCAAAAATAAAAACAGTTGTCTTTCAATCTTTCTCATTTTACATGGTGAGAAACATGAAATGTAGTGTCCGTTACCCTGTAGTGTCCGTAGCCTAGTTGAACTAAATCACACATTATCCACAAGTGTTTGCCTGTTTGTTACATGTTTCTGTTATGAACATACATAAGAGGTCTGAAATAAGTGTTTTAAAAGTGTTTTGTGTTGTTTTGGCGTGAGCTATTTTTTCAAAAGACATTTTTTCAGATGGAATGATAAATTAGATTTCTGAAAATTTGGAACTTTTTATGTTTTTGTTTCTAATATGTGATGATGGCATCATGTCTGAAAATAATTTATTGATGACACTTGTTCATTAATCTCCTTATTTGGCAGTGTAGGAGTATATTTCCTAAAAAGGGCTACGGACACTACGCAACACATTTGCGCACAATAGCGTGAAACAGCCGCTGGCAAGCTGAAACTGATTGTCACTGGTGGAGGTCAGGGAGGTCAGCAGTGACCAATCAGATCACTTGTTTACTAATGAACTTGCCAAGCAATTGTAGGTTTTCAGAAATTCTCTCTTTTAGACAGCATTATTCACTCTATATCATCTGACTGAGTTTCAATCTTAGGTAAGAGCTACAAACTATCAATTTTCTATCAACTCCCCATGGCTTTTTGAAAATAATACACTAAATATTGTTGAAATCTCCATCTTAATAAGTGGTCTAAGTCAGAGTTGTTAACCTGTCTCTTCTATATACGGCTTACTATTACTTTACCCTTGGCCTATGATCCAGATTACAGCCGACAAACAAAGAGAGACAAGTGGAACTCCGGGTATCATCAAAAAAGGTACTTTCGATTTATTTTGGTACATGTACGTCGTTACTTGTCTTCTTACATGTACCTATCTATAGAAGTCCCAGATGATTTCGATAGAAACACTGAACAAGCTGTGCACAAAATTAAATTTACAGGGGTAATATCCCCATTCCATTGCCATATCCCCAAGGGGGGGTGCGATTATTTGGATTTGCATCACTGCAATTGAAGCAAACCCTAAAAAGGGGGTTACGGTGTTTAAAAATAGTACCATGGGTACTGGGCTCACATGTTGTTGCTCAAAAGTGAATGATGGCTAAAATGACAGAAAATAAAAAAAACGGATATAATTTTTTGCCGATTTTTGTAACAAAATTATTTCATACAACTACTCTTTACAAAAACATAGCTTTTTACAATGCAGGACACCTGAAATTATTGGTAAAGCTAGGAAATGGGTCAAAAGTGAATTTTTCGAGAAAAAATTGTGGCCATTTTGAAAATAGGCAAGCTTTTGAAGCAGGAGTCATAGGGGAGTTTTTTGTTTTGATGTTGAACAAAAATAACTTAAAACAGGAATCCTATCGACAGAGGTTTTAAAACGTGCCACTATTGTTGACGGACGGATGCACGGACAGACAGACAGACAGACAGACGGACAAGTGAGTGATTGCAAGATTTCACCATGTGAGCTAATAAAAATTACATTGTATATGGTGCATTCTAAGCATTTCAAACTTTAATAATTTGTTAATGTTTTTTCAACAAATTTTACAAAATTGCTTTTTTTGTTGGGGTGGGGATGGGGTGCGATCCCACACCTTGGCTACGCCCATGTACATGCACATTTTGAACATATCCCCTAAAATTTGGATATTTTACATTTTGTATACTCTCATCCACTGATCCACTGCCTCTTAAAAATTCTCTTATTTTTAACATTGCAAATCCTCATTTCAGCAAATCCATGACTCTGTGACTAATTTATTTATGGTCCAAACTCTAGCTACTGTAGGTTATCCAAATCCTGATCCAAATGATCTCAGGTTGAGGGGTTTGCATAAAAAAGGGGTTCATATTTTAAAGAAGTATTGGGGGGTGGGGTCATGAGCTCTTTGAATGCTCGCTCTCAATGTTTATGATTGCATAGTTGAGATGAAAAGTACCAGAATATATATAAATTGTACATAACTTGTACATGACAAGTACATGCACATACATTGTACATGAGCTTCAAAACATGAGTTGATGGACACTAGAGAATGACATGACAGAACTTTACAACTGAAGCCCTGGTACCAGTCAGTAACTGAGAATCTGAGTGAATACCCCTCACCCACCTTTTTTATAAATTTACATTATGTGCATTAAGTACTGGGGGCACTTTTTAAACCCCTCCATCTGATCCCCCCTCCATCCAATATTAATTTATTTCGATTATTTTTTGTAAACGCATGGAAACTAACTTTAAAAAGTGTGCAATGTCATTAGTATTGTGATAATAACGTCCCTTATACCTATTTATTACAGGTCGTGTAGACCATTGTTGCCCAATTTATAGCAAAAGCATTGACTTTTGCACGTTGGTGATGATGCACCTTTTTAAAGCGATCTCATATCTCAGAAGGGTATCGGTTCAAAAAAATACTAGATGACCTAACATTTTTGCCATGCACTGCGCCTATTCATTTGGCAATTCAGGTGTAAATTTTCTCATGAAAAAATAAATCTTCCAAATTAGTTGAGTTTTCTTGCAGAAATCGCCTGATCCCCCTCCATCATTTTTGTACGATCACCGGGCGTGAAAGATGGACAATGTGTATTAATAAGGAAGTTGTGCTCTCTCCATTATGATCTCCCCATGAAAAAAAAATTGTTCATCTGATTTTTCAAAATGAGTATACTGCTTTAATTATTACATTTATATGCACACTAGTATCTTGTTGACCTATATTGAGCACTTTATTGATGTATGGGCCATTATCAGGGTCATAATTCAATCATGAAGTGTAGAGGCATAGATTCCAAACCAGGAAGTACATGTATTTTTGTGTCTGTCAAAATCCATTTGCATCCTTCACATTCTTACATCTTATCCAAATATGTTATAAATTAATGAAACATAACAGTATAATCTTTTGATTTACAAAGTTGCGTGGCATTTCATAAGTGTAAAAGTTGCTTTTGAAGCATTTTCTATAGCCATTTTGTAGGAAAAAAATGATGAAAAAATGTAGAATCTTTTAATTTGAAGTATGACCTGAATCGATTGCAAACTTCAAATTTGCACATTTGATGAGATGAACCATTTGTGTCATATTGTGACATTATTTAATTTGAAATCAATTCAGGTCATAGTGTTTTTTAGGTATTTTTGTGGAAATCAATAGAAACCAAAGGCCTCCATTGGAATCTGATGGTATCCACATGTTAAGTCAATAGAACACATCTGATGATATCCACATGCTTAAATATTTTCCAAAGTATTATGTGACATTGTATTCTTTATGTTACACCTAAAATGATTCATTTTGTTCATGGGGAAATCATAATGTAGAGTGCACTAGACCTTTTGTAAATAAAATCAGTGTACAGTATACAGTCATTTAGATATCACCATCACAAGCGGTGACAAACATGTATTGTTATGGTCTCCATTTTTATCATTTTTATTGTGGAGGGTGTTCAGCCTCAATTAGCAGTACATAGTCAGCATTCAGCGGTTGTTGTTTTTTGTTCAGCTTGCGGCATCTGTATCAATTGGCAGATGGTGACATTTTAATTTGCATGTTAACGCCTCTTATATATTTTACACTAGGTCACTCATTTTATATCTAAGGATGATATAAAAGAGAATGCAGAACAGTAACTTGGATGACTTGAACCAGTCAAGCCAAAGTGGACACTCATCATCAAGATGGAATCTGGCATCCCCAAAAGGTTTCAGCAAGTCATTGCTCTCTTCAGAAAAGTACAGAGATTTAATGAGAGGCAGCACTAACTTGTTAGAGAATGGGCAAAGCCTCTCTTCCAAGCTACAGGCATTTATAGGCAACAACTCACCACTTGCAAGCAGTTCTGCTCTGGGACCTTCAAGCCCAACAGGTTAGATAGTTTAATGTTTTTAGGCACATTATTTTTGAACATTTTTTTTAATTAATGATTAAATCGATTTCCATAGAAAGAAAAGGCATTGATATAACATGCACATGCTGCAGCTTTGCAAAACAACATCATAATATAAGCCAAAATTGAACACTGTAAACTAAACAAGTATATTTATAAATCACTGCAGACAAAATCATGTTTCTCTTAACTGACTTACAGTAAAAAACATGTAGCTTTTAAATGATGCACATTTTTAAAAGAGTACCCTTTCCATTTGTTTTACTTTGTTTCTTAAAAGAGAGCTTTGAGAGGTGACTCCCCAGCACAAGGCACTACCTGGACCTGATACTTATTGCTTAATTGTTATTATCAGAAAATCTTAATAAATTGTAAGGAAGAAAGATGTAAGTACAGTAAAATCTGACTAAGTGGAACCTTTGTATTGTCTTGGGACTCTGAAAAGTGTTCCACTAACAGATAATTTTCAACTTTACAGGATTCACTGTACCAGAATTGCTTGTCTGTTATTTAATATATATAAATTTGTATCTGCAGAAGTTATACAGAGTGCTGGATTACACATGGGCTCTGGACAACAACTGAAAAACAATTCTCTGCAACAAGTCACTCAGGCACTAGAAAGACAGGAACAAATTAACCATGTCAACGCACAACTGTCAAAGCTGAACTATTTGGTTAATATAGCCAACTTCAGAAAACATAAACAGGTTGAGGTAAGTTAATAACAGATCCATTTTTGGAGGGAAGAATTAGAGAATAATAATTAGTCAAGGCCTCAACCATTTGCTTGAATTCAGTATGCAAATGGAGACTACCTATAATAAACTTTTTGCTGGCTGATACAATATGATAGATTCTTGTGCAACATTTTCTATTTACATTCATTTCAGTTTTAAACCTTTATAGAGTCTATTTTAACATCTCTTTTCTAGCTCATAGAACTACAGGTCCAATTTCTAAGCCTAATAGCACCTCTTTCTTGAATTATATAATAAAGAAAGATTCTCTTCTTTGAGTATAGCAGGCAGCTCCCCTTCTTCAGGCCCATATAATTGTATATTGTAGATTCTCTTTGTGAAAGGCCATATCATAACCCTCATCTAGAAGTCCTTGTAACACAAAGATGTACTGCATAGTACAGTAGTTTTGCATTTGTAAATGTTTCAGATGTCTGTGCAAGAAGGACAGAGGCAGCTCCAGAGGCTCAACTCCACCATGCATGACCAAGCAGCAACTATAGGTAAACACCTCAGTCTAGTGTACAATGCAAATTGTATAGCTTAGGCTTGTGTAGGTTTACGATTACATGTATATCCGAAGTTTAGGTGTTTCTTGGGGCAGTACAACAGGCTGTATAAAAAATGTACATACATTGAGGAAACATAATTTTGATCGTGTCATTTTTTATTTTCTTGACATAGATATTGCAAGTGTGTAATTTTTAAGGATTACACTTCATCTAAAATACATCACAATGACTTATTTAAGGCTCATTCAGTGTACATTTTACAGTTCATGATTACATGTGCTGTACATTTTATTGCTCAGTTTATAATTAAACGAGCTTATCCATTACCTGGATATATAAGCTGGAATTCAAATGACAATTTTTCTCGAAAATACCAAACTGCATTTATTGTATGGTACATATAAATGTATACATGGAGTGTGTCATCACTATCATTAAATGGAACTACATGTATATTGAATTCTCTTTTACAGAGGAGCTGAACAACTCTTTGAGTGAGCTTTCAGTTGAAATGGAACAACAGCGTAATGTTTGTAAAAGACTTACAGGTTCCCTAGATTCACAACGCCATCTTTTGGACACATCATTACTTGAGACACGTCGTGAGATGGGGCACCAACATGCTTTGCTTGCTAAACAGCAGCGTTTCTTGGATGTAAGTACTGTATATGTATGACTCTACAAAATATCACCCTACACAAAGTTTATATCGCCCTACATGTATGAGCACAATTCATATTAATTGAGAAAACAGAGCAACCTATGGAAGCTGAAGCCCTTTTAACTTCAAATTCAGCTAGACTGGCAGCCATTTTATGCTGCCTAAAGTGATTTTAAAATTTAGTACGAAATATGTCTTATTTTCTGTCATGCATCTTCAGGGGATGAGATATGTTCAGAATTTGAGAAATTAATTGGAACTTGCTTGGCTAGACTAAGAGACATGCACTGAACATACATTTCTTGCATGATTTAAATTTTCTTACAGAAACTTATTCAACAGAAATTACGTCAGGACTTTCTAGTCGATGGTGGCTTAATAGTTACCGCCATCTATCTTAGCAATACAATACTAGTCAACTACCCGCTACAACTTCTGCTCAGTGTCATTCCTAAGCAAAAACAGAAATTGTGGTATGTAGAGTTATTAGAGTATATTTGGAAGTTCCATACACACCTTCTCTTTATATTAATCAAGTAGGATGTTCATTTTATGAATTCAGTGGGTTTAATTGTATCTCCTAACTTGAAGGTATACATGGTTATAGAGTCCATTGATAATACAAAAGAACGTTTCATTCATGAATGTTTCAAAGGTAGGGGCTGCCTCCTTTTTAAATTTTGATCTTCGAATCTTTTTCTTTCAGGGTGCATCAATTGGGCAAACTGATATTCATCATCAAGATGGTGATGTTTCTCCGATATTGTTCTATAAGATGTGGTCTCCATAATAGGTAAGATGATGTTTTGCAGATACTCTTCAGTAAGGGCTATTCCATTCAAAAATATGGATTGTCACTGATTTTGTTTTAGCTCCAACATATTTAGTTTTCATTTTACCCTCCAAATTCCCTGTCTTTGAAGGAATATCAAGCTTACATGTATGTTCAAGATTAGATATTATTCATTCAGTTTTATTCTTTACAAAAAATTGTCTTCATCAATACTCAAAGATGATTCGTGGAAACAGTAAACCCCATATCCTAGCAAATTGGTATCCAGAAAATCATGATATTCAGGCTCTCATAAAATGCTCCACAGACAACATTTGAGATTAGCAGTGAACTGAAGAACTATCTTTGATATACAGTGTATGTTGTGAGAGAGTAGTGTTGACATCCTCCTAAGCAGGTATCCAGAATCCGTACCTCCTTCTTCCCCCTGTTGTAACCAATTTGGAAGCGCCCTATTTAACTGAATCACGTGATCTTATTATGCGCAATGACTTATACATGATTTCTGTTGCAGTGTTGCAACAGCCAATCAGATTGCAAGTTCTTAATCGGGGAAAGGCTAACTGCTTATCGCAGGGGGTGAAAAAAAAATATATATTCTGGATTTTGAAGCCCTGTGATCGGAGGATGAGTGTTGATAACAGATCCAGTTGTTTTCAGGCACTGGATTCCTATAATTATGTGTATGTTCTATTCCAGTGTTGGTTGTACAGTAGGCTATGGACAAGAAGCTTTAAGATTGGCTGCTCAAAGAATCCGACATTTGGTGAGCATGGCAACCAGACTGTTTCAATCCAGAAAAGATTCAAAGTTGGATATCTGCTAACTAAGTGCATCCTCGACTTTCCAGGTGGTATCCATATTGGATCTACAAATACTTATTTTCTGCCCTGATGGGGTGGTGTCAAAATCTCAGAGCTGTGGAAAAATGTTCATTTCATTATGGTTACACAACCCCCTTCCCCTATTTGAAAAAGTTTTAAAACATGAACTCTCTTTTCATTCAACTTTTTAGAAAAACATTCTTCTTTCAATGAAATCTTTCCCATCTCCCCTGAAATTAACTTTATTTTTTCTCAGCTGATGACATTTGAATACGACCCCTTGCTATTTGGTGCATCAAATGGGAAGATTTATCCCAATCAAATCAGTCAGAAGTATCCAAATATTTGTGTAACCACCAGTCATACTTATAGATTATACTTATGATATTTTATTGGGTTTCTATTGAGAGAACCCCTGGACAGATATTTGTCCTACAAAATTATCTCAGGGATTAGTCACATGATATTTTTGGTTTGAAGATACGAGTGTTGTCCCATAAGTCTTGAAATTTTTATCATTTGTTTTGTTCACTCAGTTGAATGAAATATATATCATTATTGCATTCGCAAATACAAGCTCAGTTAAACAATTTGCTGTATAGGCCTATGTGTTCCATATTTTTCATTATTTGCTCAGTAGTATACTGCACATCGTATTAGCTTCAGAATTCTTTTTACATTTTAAAGTATCACCATGATACTGGAAATGGACGGGTATATAAATTACAGTTAGATCAAATAAAGTGTACAAGTAAAAGTGTACGAGATATTTTATTCTACAAATATTTTTACAGCAATAAAGAATTATACAACATCAAGCAAAATATGTTTTTGTCCTTGACATATATCACAACGATATCCCAGGGATGAAAGAAATTATGGTCCCCCGGGGATTATGGTCTCCTTTCTTAAAAGCCCTTACTGGCCCTGATTGTGTATAAGATAATGAGGGAAAGAGGTCACCATATAAATCAATGGAGAGTAGGACCATAAATTGATAGGACCTCCTACCCTTTTACACCTGGATGATATCTTCTGTTAAAGCTGGCAGTAGCGTCAGCTCAACGATGGGCCTCTTGTACATTTATATATAGGCACTCATATCAGTTATGATACCTTGAACATTAATCCTCACACACAGCTCGATTGGTCCTTGATGGTACCCGTTTACACCCGTAATATTTTGGTTTAGTTTATGCCTGAATACCCACCTTTGACGTTTTGATTTTTCCAAATTTTTGTATTTCATTTATTATTTTGTTTTATTTCAGACTTATTTTCAAAAACGGATCTTTTCCCAGTTTCATTGCATAGATTACACAACACTTGAACACGAGATCTATAATTTCCTCAAAGGTAATATTGCCTTGCATGTCTTATTTACTTAGAAGATATTTATGTTGGCTTGGTTTCACCTTTCTTTTCTATTTGTTGCAGTCTTTGAAAAAGTAGGATGGACACAGATAGATGAAACTATTTGTTTTATAAAAAGTGTTCCAAGTTGAATTATTTTGTTTTCATCATTTTATGCAACGATTCCAACATTTACACCTTGTTTCCTTTCTACTTCCTTGAGGTACATACAATGTATGATATCTGTGCTCAATACATATGTGGTAAAATTTGGCATGCTACAAAAAGATGAGATTTAGCTTACAAAAATATGCCAATTGTGCAAAGATGCAAAAAGATCAGAATGGTCTGAACTTGAATCTTTTGCAATGAAAACACAATAAGCTTTATTTTGTAAAAATACAATATGATTGTCAGCGATGTACTTAATATACACTTGCAATTGTATTCTTATACGGAAGCTCTGTTTCGGTATGCCAGAGATAAAATTCCACAATTTTGTTCTCAATGTTAATGTTGATGTTTAACATACAATGTTAATTCCTAAAGTGTCAATGGTTGATTTACAACATATTAATAAAAAAGTAGAAATGATGATGGTGACAAGAACTGACACCAGACACGTCCACAATGATGTCAAAACGTGACATCAGACACATTTATTGTGGAAAATGTATCACCAGACGCGCTCTTAATGACGCCAAGAAGTGATGTCAGACACAATCATGCCATCATGATGAAACTAAGTAGTAACACCAGTACACAATGTTAAAAATTATGTACACAATCGGGAACAGTCGTCTACTTATTTTGTCCACCTTCCTAGCAAGTTGTCTGCTGTGAGGGTCATAATGTTTTGTAATTCCATAGGCATGCTCGTCAGCCATTCTTTTTATCTAAACACAAACAAATGATATTAAATTATTTGGATTGCAAACACATATTCTGAAGACAAAGCTCTCTTTTAAGAAGTGAAGTCAAACGAATGCAAAGTGTAATTCTGATCCGAAAAAAGCCAGTCAGTGTTTAACCATTAACATTTACATTTGGATGTATAATCACTGCTAAAGGACCTCTCATTTAAGTTGGATATCAACGGGGACAGGGGAATTTGAAAGAATTAGAATTAGTCAAGATATCATTTTGATATGAAGCCAGAACTCTTCGACTTCTTAAAGGCAAAAAGGCGGGGCATGGAATGATGATATAGCAAACCATAAATTCAGATATCACAATAGAAACAATTTTTTATTCGATTCAGGTATCTATTCACTTACAGAGTCGGTTGGCACGTCTTTATCGTTAGATTGACTTCTCATGCGTATACTCATTCGCCGTATCTCCTTTCGCGACATTGTGTTCACTAGGGCAAATTCCAAACTGGCGCTAAACACAAATATCACACAGGCCGACATCCAAATGTCAATAGCTTTAACGTAAGATACTCTGAAAGTAAACATGGAACGTGTGTAAACATACACCATGATATGTCATTAGACAAGTAAAGAGAACGTGTATGGTACGTGAAAGTGTATGGTCCTCCAGTGTTACATGTAATGGATTAGTTTTTCTCTTCGTGGGTATGAGAAAAATAGCTGTAATTGTTGGGAAAGAACAATTAAGGAAGGGGACGGTAATACCTGGGGGTCATAGTGTTACAGGTTCAGGTACAAGGTTTCTTAAAAACGTGAAGCTTATGCTCCCTATATAGGTAGAATCCATTGTACATGTTCCACCGGCAAGTCCGATTGGCGACTATGGCTACTAGTATCTTTAATAGGGATTGTAATACAATGTGTGTTTACTATATTTACCTTGGAAGAGACATCCACACCCCTACACTTTGCGTGGTAATAGTGAGTGCCGTAAGGACACCCAATGAGATCCTGGCGGGGATAGAATCGATGTTAATCCAGAAAGACACCCAAGAGAGTAAAACGATGAGGCTACCCGGTAAGTAGTTCTGCACCATGTAATAACCAAACTGCCGTCGAAGGATGAACGCAATTTGGATACATGAATATTTGCCTGGAAAAATATCAATGTGTTATCAAACTGATATGCGTAAAAAGGGACAAATTATTATTTTGTCTATTATGTTTTTTGTTAACTGTTTTTAATTGATTGCTCGGAGTAAATTAATGATCTTCAGTCCTCCATCTTTAACCCCAAAAGTTCGATCCAAGAACATTTAAACACAGATATATGTTAATAGGATATCACAGACTCAACGACAAAAGGCACGGCTAAACAATTAAGGGGTCATATTTTGAGGGTATTAGTGCATATTTCAACCAGTTGACGGATAGTAGAAATGGTAAATGCCCTACCGGTTATGTATGAGCTCTCGCATGTCCCTGTTGTATAGTCCTCAAACGTGAACTGTGGAAGCTCCAATTCTTCATTCACTTGTACAGCATTCTTTGGAGTCCACCTAATGTTGATCTGATCAGATGTATAGCCATCTATAGACATAAAAAATATGCACACTGAATATAATTAATGCCAGTATATTAAAGAGAGAATCAGATAAAGCGAGCAGACTAAACAAAAATTTGTTTCAATTTTAGAATACTTTTGGCTCATGTCATTCCTTGTCATGTCTATTTTCTAAAAATCACAAAAGTGCTAACTTTATTCCAGGAAAACTAAAGATTTTTACAGTAATGTATCATTTTTCTATAAGAATGGTTACCATTCTTATTATTTGGGAGAATTTAAACATTTTTCACTCATTTTTGCACTTTGAATGATTAATAACTTCACCAATTTATAACATATTGTGAATCTTTTGGGAGATATTATATTTGATATTGTAAGGAATAGATTGGTAGGTCAATTATGTTGCTAGTAATTTTGTCACCCCCTATAGATCAGATTCTGCCTTTAAGTACAACGGTTTGAACATTTCGGAAGCTGTAAAAAAATTCATGAGAAAAGATTTCCTCTGAATTCGCATTTGAAGGCCATTCGTGAATAAATATACCGTATTGTCTCTACTCCGCTGAAAACACCAAGCAAATGTTACATTATTTCAACCATTCAACCTATGATCTTACGCAGAAATTGTCACGTCACGAAGACACGCTGTGATATCAATCAGGTGGCATTTTTTTCTCATACGAATATGATATAAATATTCTAAACTTTCAAAATAAAGCAATATTGTTGGCCTACATGTATCTTGGTTAAAAATACGTTTTTACATGTTTTGAATATGTTCCATTTGATCCGACGAGAACTTAATATTTAAAATACTTTTTTCTCTGAACCACTTTTCTGTGCTTATGAGTTAATTTACTACTTATTTTTTTGAACAATTTGCTCATTTTTCAACATAAATAGGTTAGGATGCACTTTATTTTATAACTATGCAGTATGCATTTAAACCCTTTCCACAGCATAGACTTTGAAATTGTCACTTCTATTCATGATTCAGACTGCATAGGGTGTTAGTGCCAGGCCAATATACGAGAGACACATTGCAATGTGTAATTGACACGCAACATGCGACATTTATATAGGATTCCATTTGTCAAAATCAGAAATACTGATTTACTAAAAGTACTTTAGATTTATTTCCCAATTCCAGTCCTGGCCAAACATATCAAAAGGATGAAAGTGAATCAGTGCTAATGTTGATTAAACATCAAATCATTCATACTCTCACAGGCAAAGTCATGATTTAAAATTAGATTAGGCAAGGCTAAGACTAAAGAAGCTTTATAATAAAACATTTTGGCTTATCATTTCACTTCCACATTTTGATTTTGTTGATTTAATTTTGGAGTTGTTTTAATGTCAGTTACTCCCTACCTCATTCTTGGTTTCGCTAAAGTATTCGTTTCCTATTATCATTAAAATTAAACACAGATTTAAGATTATACTTGTATATATTATAGTCTTATTGCATGTACAGTAGAACCTGCTAAGTGGAACACCTCTGTAAGTGGAACACATCATAAATGGACCAGTGTTTTTAAAGTCCCATGACCTATCTACTCCATGTTAATGAATCTCTGCAAGTGGGACACCTCCAAAGTGGAACACTTTTTTGTAGTCCCAAGGGTGGTTCCACTTACACAGGTTCTACTGTAGTAATTGAACCTTACAACTCTCCATCTTCATGTAGCAGACTTGTCTATCAAATGGGAATTTCTCTAACGACATCGGACACGACAATCTCAGGGACAATCTGCAATATAAAAGATGGTCACGTAAAACACATGTAATTAAACAGAGTGTCTCGTTCACATTTGATAGTAGAATGATGATAGATTACCTTGATAAGTGGTGCCTAATTACGTGATGGTTACCGGGGAATCGTCAACGTCGTTGATATTGCTTAGAAACACAGCTCATGACCGAGATAGGAAAGATGCATACGATCAACTTAGTATAACTATAGCATTAGGTCTTCCAACGTTGGGCTGATCAGGTCTTGGGATCATTGAATTTAAGATAATACCGCAAATACCATAGCTAAAATTATCTCAAACAGTCATGAAAGCCGGGCATGAAAGATGTAGGTCAAGGAGGAATGACTGGTTAATATAAGTTCATAAAACATAATGACCTAAACGGTTATCATTTCATGAATTACTGTACCTTAGACTAAGATGGACGCTCCCGTTGCGATGTATTCGTAGGGCTCTATTGGGAACTGTATCGCAATGCTGATGCGAGTACTTCTCATTTGGAAAGAATGTATCCGGAAGCCATATACAATGAGCCATTTTATTATCTACACTAATTCTCTCTTTACTCGACAGGCTATCGTTGAAGGAAAGTCTTTTGTCAACCCATGACTGACGAAGATATACATTGATTTGGAAGTCCTGAAAGCGAGCATGTTTGGGAAATAAATTAAAGTGTATTTTTATGTTGAGAAAATAAATTGTATATCAGGATAGTCCTGAAAAGTAAAGAAGAACATATAGGTAGTTCTCGACAGTATGTTGAGAAAGTCATTTAAAGTGAAAGAGTATGTTGAGTAAGTCATTTAAAGTGAAAGAGTATGTTGAGAAAGTCAATTAAAGTGAAAGAGTATGTTGAGAAAGTCATTTAAAGTGAAAGAATATGTTGAGTAAGTCCTGAAAAGTAAAAGAGTATGTCGAGAAAGTAATTTAAAATGAAAGAGTATGTTCAGAAAGTCATTTAAAGTGAAAGAGTATGTCGAAAAAGTCATTTAACGTCAAGGAGCATATGTTGAGTAAGTCCGGATAAGTAAGAGGGTATGTCGAGAAAGTAATTTAAAGTAAAAGAATAATTTAAAGTGAAAGAGTATGTTGAGCAAGTCCTGAAAAGTAAGAGAGTATGTCGAAAAAGTAATTTAAAATGAAAGAGTATGTTCAGAAAGTCATTTAAAGTGAAAGAGTATATTGAATAAGTCCTGAAAAGTAAGAGAGTATGTCGAGAAAGTAATTTAAAATGAAAGAGTATGTTCAGAAAGTCATTTAAAGTGAAAGAGTATGTTGAGCAAGTCCTGAAAAGTAAGAGAGTATGTCGAGAAAGTAATTTAAAATGAAAGAGTATGTTCAGAAAGTCATTTAAAGTGAAAGAGTATATTGAGTAAGTCCTGATAAGTAAAAGAGTATGTTGAGAAAGTATTTTGAAGTAAACGAGTATATTGAATAAGTCCTGAAAAACGAGAGAGTATATGTTGACAAAGTCCAAAAAAGTAAGAGAGTATTTCGGGAAAGTCATTTAAGGTATTAAGAAAGCTTTTGAAAATGAAAAGAGTATATATTGACGAAGTCCCAGGAATTAAGGAGTGTGATAAAAATACCCCCATAGGCAATTATAACGCTTAAATGTAATTCAATATGTGGACTTGAGTTGCCAAGCGTTCAGAGTAGAGCGTAATGTTAGCCTACGTATGTTGTCATTGCAGATATATGACAGATGTATTTTTGATCGCTATTATCACCAGCTGTGGCTTTCTAGCGTGTCTATTATTATGGCATCGGGACAGGTTGACAAGTGAGTTACTTACCATCGTTTCAACGTTAATGGAGTCGAAACTGTTGACGTAGACGTTACACGTGACATTTGTCACCTCACCTGTAAAAGAATACTAGAAGTAATCAATTTATAGAAAAACATGGAAGTAGCTATGCATGATTAATTCTCTAACATACCTGTTACACACTCATGAAAAATGAATTGATAGCTTTTTCAAATCGAAAAGGTGAGAGTAATAAAATAAACTTACAGATCTCTTACTAACAAAATTGCACTTGTCTTTTAAAAAAAGATTAAACATGCATACAATCATAGATTGAATAGTTGAAATAATACAGTTTTGAAGAGAAAATAATGTGCTTTACAGTGTTAAGTGTTGTATTTGATGATCTAGAAATCTAAACTTTTATTTCGGAAATGGCGGGAAATTCAAATATTTGAAATTTATAAGATAAACACATTTTTCAAATCCTTATTTTCTCAAAATTGTCTGAAATCGTTTTGAAATGTATGTATGTAATATATGAATAATTTAACTAGAATTTCAAACTTTACACGGGCTCTTTAGTGTTTCATTGCCATATAGAAAACGTAAATGTTAATGGCTTTAGCGAAACATTAACTGAACCGTGCAAAGCTTTCTCATGGGCTGATCTAATCAAAAAGCTTTTAGTCATCCAAACAGAATCAAGCCTTGTGTGCATATTTTGAAATTTATGAACTGGGACGATATTTATCCAATACCAAAGTACTTGGATGAAACCAGAGACATATAAATTTATATGTCTCTGATGAAATGTAGATTTATCATTAACTTCCGATATACAGGGTGACCCAAAAAATGCAACCCTCCAGTTCTTCAATATTTTTCTTAAATGGAGGTTAATTGCTCTGAAATTTAGCACACAAGGACTTCATTCAATGTGGGATCCTCTGGCAAAGTTTTAATAATCATAGTCATATATTGATAGAGTTGTTGTTTCAAAATATGCTCCAGATGTCGTCAATTTCGCTGAAAACAAACTTGCAATGTTCAAGGAAAACTGTTCATAACACGGATGCATTCTTCCCCATGGGTATGGCTCTAATTTTTGCAGCCATTGCTTGTTGGAGTTCTGCAATTGCAGTAGGGTTATTTTCATACACATTATCCTTTAAATAACCCCATATATAGAAGTCAGGGGCATTGAGATCAAGAGTGTGGGATGACCATGGGTTCTCCGTCCTAGGAGAGATAATCTTCTCATAGAAATGACTAGTGAGCCAGGCTATGCTATCATTAGAAGTGTGAGGAGTAGTTCCATCCTTCTAGAACCACTGTTCTTGTCTATTGAAGCCTCTATGCCACTCTAGAACTGCCTAGAACTTCCTGGGAACGCCAATATTGCGCTGTGTGTTAACAGTAACAGTGTTGCCATTATCAACCTCAAACCAAAAGGGGCTGATGATTTCATGTTTGGAAATTGGCAGCCCAAGCTGTGCATTTAACAGAATGAAGGGGCCTTTGAAGCACTTCATCTGGAATTTGTGATCCCAGAACACATTATTTCTTGAGTTTACATGTTCAGAAAGAAGGGAATGTGATTCATCCGAAAACCTAACATTGGAAATGGACGACATTTGGAGCATATTTTGGAACGACCATAACTCTATCAATATAAGACTATGATTATTGAAACTTTGCCAGAGGATCATACATTGGATGAAATTCTTGTGTGCCAAATTTCAGAGCAATTAATCTCCATTTAAGAAAAATATTGAAGAAATGGAGGGTTGCATTTTTTGCAGCCATTGCTTGTTGGAGTTCTGCAATTGCAGTAGGGTTATTTTCATACACATTATCCTTCAAATAACCCCATATATAGAAGTCAGGGGCATTGAGATCAAGAGTGTGGGATGACCATGGGTTCTCCGTCCTAGGAGAGATAATCTTCTCATAGAAATGACTAGTGAGCCAGGCTATGCTATCATTAGAAGTGTGAGGAGTAGTTTCATCCTTCTAGAACCACTGTTCTTGTCTATTGAAGCCTCTATGCCACTCTAGAACTGCCTAGAACTTCCTGGGAACGCCAATATTGCGCTGTGTGTTAACAGTAACAGTGTTGCCATTATCAACCTCAAACCAAAAGGGGCTGATGATTTCATGTTTGGAAATTGGCAGCCCAAGCTGTGCATTTAACAGAATGAAGGGGCCTTTGAAGCACTTCATCTGGAATTTGTGATCCCAGAACACATTATTTCTTGAGTTTACATGTTCAGAAAGAAGGGAATGTGATTCATCCGAAAACCTAACATTGGAAATGGACGACATTTGGAGCATATTTTGGAACGAACATAACTCTATCAATATAAGACTATGATTATTGAAACTTTGCCAGAGGATCATACATTGGATGAAATCCTTGTGTGCCAAATTTCAGAGCAATTAATCTCCATTTAAGAAAAATATTGAAGAAATGGAGGGTTGCATCATTTTTTGGGTCACCCGGTACATAATATGTTCAACAAAAGATAATGCCAGTATTTAGTATAAAGAGTTTACTTTAGTATAAAGAGTTTACTGATGGGCCTCCGAAAAGATATTAAATATCGATCGATCAGCTCAAAATGCACACAGGAGATTAGTTTTGTTCTCATTTCACAATTGTATATATTGCGGTGTATCATACGTACACTCCCAACAAAATGTTCGATAACCCAAACTCCCAAGTAGGAACGAAAGTAGGATTTCTAAAATCCAGCGTTGGCTTAATTACTTACAAAGTGATTGCAATTGACAAACAAGGCTTTGGTACACAACACGTTAAGACCCTTCGAAGATCATTCAACGTCAACCAAAGGTCAAATCTAAAACCTAAAGTCAGATTTGAACTTCTGATAACTTGTAGTTGATTTTGAAGAACAATTTGGTCGATTTGAAGCAAGTAAACATACCATTTGACCTTTTTGAACTTGAGAAGGTCATTAAAAGTCAAAGCTTATATCTAAAGTCAGATGTGTGGTCAATTTGGAGCAAGCTGAAAAACACCTTTCTGACCTCTTTTACCTAAAATGTCATTGAAGGTCAAATCTCAAATCTAACTTTTGGGAACTTGACGAAAATATTTGAAAGAAAATTCTGAGAACTTGTGAATTTGGAAAAAGTTAAGCCAGTCTAAACAGAACTTACAGACATCGACCGCCCTCCACAAAAACAAACTTGGAAACCAAAACAGTATGTCACGTTAGTGGTGACACATGAATAAATATAATCTGGCTCTAAATGCTCACCGATGGTGAATCTGTATTGCCAATCTTTTGGACGGGAGTGTATGTCGTTGAGAAGCTAAATTTAATCAGCCAAGGTTTCATTATTATAGACAAATATCTGATATTCTTCATTACACAAATTGGCAACCTAATGCAAATCTGTTATTTTACGTCTCAGAGAATTCCAATTTTCACACGATCAACAACACAAGCCTATGCGTCACACCCCAAGCAACACGCCACAACAAATCACAAGGTAAACCTATCTCAATACAACATCACCTTACCAACAATACAATTTACAACACAACGCAACATTCTCTGAAATAACACAAGAGAAAATTAGTGCAAGTGTAACACAACGCAACATAATCACATATCGCATACTGTACACAACACAACAAAGCATAGCGTATGCTTTACAACACTGCAAAATAATTTGCATACCATTGCACTATCAACACAATGTAACGCAACATAACCACATAACGTATGCTTCACAACGCAGCAAAATAATTTTCATATCATTGCACTGTTAACACAATTCAACACAACATTACCACACAGCGCATGCTTTACAACACAGCAAAATAATTTGCATACCATTGCACTATCAACACAATTCAACGCAACAATAGTGCAAGAGACAACACATTACAATGCTGTATATAGTCTATACATCGGTAACAGACCCACATAAAATTTAATTGTAAACATATGTTACATTGCATTTCATTTCATTACACTACATAACATTGCATTGCATTACATTACATGACACTACACTACACTACACTACACTACATTACTTCACATTACATTACATTGCATTACATTACACCACACTACATAACATTGTATTGTATTGCATTACATTTCATTACATTATATTGCATTACATTACACTACATTCCATATTGCATTGCATTAAATTTCATTACATTACGTTGCATTCCATTCCATTACACTAAATTACATTACATCACGTCACATTTAGTCACATTGCATTGTATTACACGATATTACATAATATTGACGTGTCGCAAAAAGCTCGCGCACGCATTGTTACACATTTTGTGGCGTAATCCAGAGGATCCTCGCTTTTAACATGATAGAATGTGACGTTTTTGAGAAAAATGTACACACATGAAAATCCAAAAACATTTTAGACGAATAACTCTGATATCATATATATATTGTTAATGGGCTAGGAGCATCATAAAACACGAATCAATTGATATTCTAGGTGAAATAAATATACGTGTTGCTGTGCTTGAAAATAGGCGAATGGCGTAAATTAGCCCTATTTTAATGAATTTTGAAAACCTTTCGTCCTCCACTTTTCCACATACAACAGAAAACACATACTTTTGTGAACAAAATCAACTATTTATTAATAAACTAGAGTTTAGGAGCAAAATAATCATGTATGATTTATTAAAAATTGATCTCGTATTTTTTGTTTAATGTACACCTGAAAAGTTGAAGGTAACAAAAAATGAGCAAAAAAGGTCGCTGTCAACAGATTCTATTTTTCAGACTCTATGACGTCACAATATGAAATAAAACTTCCATCTACCTTTATCAAGACGAAAAATAAGTATAATAGTCATATATTGTTTGAGTTATGAGCGTTTAAAGACGAAAAATAATTCAAAATGTAACGTGTCAACATGGGATATTTGCCAGATGTTTTGGTAAAAAACTCTTTTTTAAAAACGAACGCGCAAAAAATGTGAACGGAGTGTAGTTGATCTAAAAACTTCATCGAAACAGCTTTAAAATGACATATAACTTTAATTAGAATATTATCTTATAATCCGGGGAATCAAAGTTACATTCACGCGATACCCTTAAAAAACAAATGCGCCACCTTTTTGCGACACGTCATTGTATTACACATTCCATTCTATTACATTACATTTTAATACGATACAATACAATACAATACAATACAATACAATACAATACATTACATCGCATTACATTACATCGCATTGCATTACAAGTGACACTTACTAGTTTGGAAGTTTGGCAACATCAGATTGTCATAATTTGACAGCAGGGGCTCTAATGGAGAGTTCCTGCAAATGAAAAAACAATTATGACACATTATAAAGAATTTTGACTAATCTACTGGTTAAAATTATTATTTTTTGATTTCATACAATATAGCAATTTGCGAAATGTTGTAATTGGTGAATTTAGTATATTCGATTTTCGTATACTATGCAAATTCCAATTATATTTATATTATCTTTAATAACTTAAACGCAGAACTCATTAACAGATTATTTGGTTTGTACTGACACGAGTGCGTAATCTGCTTGGAATGGTACTCATTTGAGTACTTAAATGATATGGCCCAGGCATCACATGCAAAAACAAGCCCAGGCCTCGATCCAAGCCCAAAGGAACAATACACACTATAAATGGTACTAAAAATTGAGAAACACAATGAGACAGGGTTTCAGAATTTTCAAGTTAATTAACACTCGTTTTTCTGTTTCGATCAGCCTTGATAGTTCTCGATATATTGAAGATCAAAAGAGAACTGCGCCCTATGGTAATCCAAGCACTAAACACGTAAAATATACCAAATATATGAGCAACGGTGTACTGGAATATGACACCTCATCTTGTTCCATTTCTCTATTTACACAGTTGCACATTGTCAGGGCTTTTTGAAAATATTTGCTAAGTGTATTAGGGAGTTAATTCATTATGTTATCAGGCACTCTACGATCGAAGGTATATGCAAATAGTAAGAATTTTTACTTATTCATATTGCATTATTTCAGCATCATTTCCCCTTAGGACTCATTTGCTAATGCCTAGAATTAACATATTGGTCTATATTCGTTCCAAGTGACAGGTCATAAGATAATATGGAAGTTTTGCTTTTTATGCCAACGTAACGGGGAATACTATAACCCCAGGGACTACTATACTCTCTCTCCATTGTTTTTTCCAGGGACCTAACTGCAACTATTTTTCCTAAAACTGTCTCATTGCTGAATCTGACAATGAAATACTACAAATGGAAGAACAAATTCAGAGAAGAATGTACATGCTCTAAAAGCGTAGCTTTACCTCCGTATTATCACTTCGAATAACTTCAGAATTTATTATGCTGGGGTCCGTTTTTGAAACCGTCAATTTGGTTGCAAGTCATCGTTCATTGAAAAGTAACTAATTGCCTTCTCCGATTCATAAGCTACGATCGTACCAAAAACGAACCCCTGAATCGTTTTCGATAGTTTTTGATTTTAGTGTAAAACAATAATATGAAAGCCTTGTCATGAAGGTATACAGGCATGATGATTTATTCACACTTTTATTAATTCCATGGTGGTTTACAATACAGGTAAAATGAATGAATTATTCTGTTAGATGAAATAAACGAATTCACGTATTATATGAGATGAAATAAATATGTCATGGTACGATGACATTCATGATTCAAAACACGATCTCTTTTCTTGCTAAGCGTTGCTATCAAATTACAGAACAATGAGATGTTGATGATCTACTTGAATTGCCATTACCTCATTCGAGGTATTTCACATCCTGTTGAGTCATCCAAGGAATTCATATCATCCTGCATCGGGCAATGTATCTTATATCATCTTTACTCGTCCAAGGTTTATCATATTATCTCGACTCGTTAAGGTATGTCTTATCCTGTCTTGTGCAATGTATTTCGTATTATCTTTACTCGTCCAAGGTTTATCGTATTATTTCGACTTTCGTCAAGGTCTGTCTTGTGCAATGTATTTCATATTGTCTTTACTCGTCCTAGGTATATCATATTATCTTGACTCGTCAAGGGTATTTCTAATCATGTCTTGTGCAATGTATTTCATATTATTTTAACTCGTCCAAGGTATATCATATCATCCTGGCTCGTAAAGGGCATGTCATAACATTCTGTCGAGTGCAATCCATTTCATATTATCTTTACTCAAACAGGGCATATCACATTATCCCGGCTCGTCCAGGGTATGTCTTATCCTGTATTGTGCAATGCATTTCATATTATCTTTACTCTTCCAAGGTATGTCATCATCTTGACTCGTCCAAGTTATGTTATATAGTCTTAAATCGTCCAAAATATGTCATATCATCTTGACTCGTTAATGGTATGTCATATCATCTTAAATTGTTCAATGTATTTCAAATCATCTTGACTCGTCCAAGGTATCATCTTGACTCGTCCAAGGTATGTCATATCATCTTGTCACGTCCAAAGTATGTCACATCATCTTGACTCGTCCAAGGTATTCAATATCATCTTGACTCGTCCAAGGTATGTCGTGACTCGTCCAAGTCATATGATCTTGGCAGTGATTTCATGTCAACCTGTCCCGTCCAAAGTAATTTCAGAGAAAAGCGTCGAAAGTTCTAAACATTCCATTTATCGTATTCTAGTAATTACTAGGTTAATGGCAAGTAAATTCGATAAAAACACGTTATAAATCATAATCAGCAAATAATTAGCAACTTGCAATGTTGATCTGCCAATAAATAATTAATAACTTGCTATTTAGATAAGTTTTTCTACATTAAATAGCAGCGAAGCTTATTAATAGAAGAGAAAATATAGACTCACTTGGGACAGAAGTAATCCATTAACAGCCTACCGATATGTTTTTGAGAGAATTTCTGTTATTTTGATTAATAACTAAATGCCAGTTTTTAATTGAATGCAATAACTGTATATTGACTTTAATTCTTGTTTTGTTTAGCTTAGTATGTTTTTTTGTGTCATAATTTCTCATAAATTTCAAAGTGACGAAGAGACCGAAGAGCAGTGGTAATATTATCGAATACACCCCTAAGGACTAGGTACAAAAGCTTTCGAACCCCTTTGTTACTCCCTTCGGTCGTTCAGAAAACGTTTGTGCCTTGCCCTGCGGGGTGTATTCGACAATATTACCCCTGTTCTTCGGTCTATATTTCTTAAACAATTTATTGTTTAAGGTACAGCGCTGTCTTATATTTACCCATGGTATTTGTTCGACTTCGCTTCTTAAAAGAGAGCTTCGCCTTCAGTAGTTTATAACTAGACTCTGCGCGCAGGGTATCTTATATTAACAAATGAATCTGTACTTAAACTAACCTAACCTTTGGTAATACATCCTTGAACACATTATGAAATATTTTACGTTTTAACAATGAATAAAACAGTTAAAGGTCATTCATAAAAGGCCTAATATCTGTAATGCTTTAAACCATAATAACCCTAAAATTGATTTCATAGTGATATGTAATTTTACACAATAAAATCGGTTCTTTTCTGAAAATATCAAAGTTTGAAAGGAACTCCTCATCTAGAATTCCGAAATTGAAAAAATGCACGCATATTCAATTATAAAAGGCAATTAGTTAATTTTCTGCACGAACACTTTTTTCAAGCTCCATTGAGAAACAGACTACTTTTTTGTTACTTATTTCCGAAGTCAGGTCAGAGTGCCTTGACTTTTTACGGTTGTACCCCAGATACATATGGCTTATTATATGCCAAACATCGATGTTCACGAAATGCGTAACGTAAATTTCTATAATGTTCGTTCTTGAATAAATTCGTTATTCCACACTCTCGGGGATGTTATAGAACAAAAATACAAACCTTAGAGATCCTAAACCACAGGGAGGTGATCCACATGAACTTTCGAGTTGAGTAGTAATCCTAACCATCTTTAATCCCATAACGAGTAGCAATATTACATTCATTGTAACATCCATTAATATAACACATGACCTATAGACCATCAACTATTACAATCTATTCAATATCTACTACCTTAGAATTTGATCACCGTTTCATGACTTTTTTTATATTTCCCTATCTCTGCAATAGATTCACCAATTTCTGCAAAGTGTACATGTAATTTCCTCATGCATGTCTGAGATACCGATTGTGATAAACATCTGGCATGTTAACCTGGGTTGTGGTTTAATATAAATGTGTTTAGTCCTATTTGTTACGCTAGTAATCGTAATTGTCTCAGAGTCTCATCGTTTACACTACATCCTGTATATTTACACACATATTACCATCGGGTTATCCCGTACCTAGTGACTGTAGCCTACCCAGTGAGTAGTTAACACCTGGTCTAGAACTCAGCAAATTCCAATCATAAGTGATTTATAGGTAATAGATGGTTAATCTATCTTCACTGAATATTTACTAGCATAGTATAGTACTACTAAGTACGTGTTCTCAGAACATTTGCTCAATTATGTCTTAACTTGCAAAATATTCCATTTCAGTTTCTAGAAATCATCATTGCATTTTCTTCGAACATGTACTCCTAATGTTGCTGAATTAAATGCCATTTCGTTAAAATCCAATGTCGCTATGCCAAGTGAGTTATTGCCCATTAGACGGAACACTGCTTGATCTTCCTAAATCAAACAAGTTGTATTCATTGAAGGTATATTGCCCTTTTCATTTTACATTGGATCGGAGTGTATGGTTTCCTTTTAATTTGTAATATCTTTAAGGTCTAATATTATATTGGCAATGCATGCTTCTATTTTTAAGACAACCGCCAGAAGCAAATTGAATTCTGAATTCTAACTCAGAAATAATCAGGTTGCTCATCTTTGGCTTACTGAGTGCCATTGTCTCATTATGATTAATTCAACTTAAAGAACATGCTTAATGCTTTACACAATGCAAATTGCTGTTTATTCAGTGCAGAACGACACAACGCATCCTATCATAGATATTAGTTAATCCCATCACTGTTATCTAGAATTTAATAAAATCGATCTTACAAAACTGAACAGTTTCAGCACAGTTTCTAGCAATAACTAGACAGACACAGGTTGATATCTAACGATATCATGCAGGAACAATAGAGCTTAAAGTGGCCGCAAAGAACAGAGTGTGTAACATATTGAAACCAATGTTCTCATTTAAATGTGTCCCTTACAGTATTCATTTCATTCTCTGAAATCTATAATCGATTTGAAGGGGGTGCAGATATGCAAGGTCGTTCATGGGTCACGAACCTTGACAGTTATTCTTCATGGAGGCCAATGTCATGCAGTTTTGTCATAAATATGTAGAAATGGCCCAATATCGATTTATAGAAAAAGGTCCTGTATCCAGGATCGTCAACTCTTGATTCGCTTTGATAATGCTTCCATGAAGAGTGGATATATTTGCTGATGGTACATAGTTGCAATATACAATTTATAACGTGAAGATGATAATTACTTATTGAAATTCAGTTAGTATTTGGAGGAAACGTTTCAACTTGGAATCAAGATATTGCAGCATATTTAGATTCTGCAACTGTGAAAAGATGGCGTATGAAGCGAGGTGGATTGTTTGGAATATGTTGCATCCTTCTGGGACGTTGCACCCCCCCCATCCTGATGGTTGGAACAGCCCACCCGTTGGCAATTGAAATTTTAGATTCGAAAAACGTTTTCAAATTATCAATGCTGAAGTATATCACTTCCATGGACCCGATCAGTACTGGTGGGAACGTGATTCTGACTTATTAATCTACTTAATAATGAGGAAGAAAACATTCGATAACATGTTTCTACTTATCTTCAAAAGTTCAGCTTATTGCATGACGGTTAAAAGCATCTTTTGCTAAGCAATTTATACAAAACACCATAATTTTTAAATGTGGCCAGACTTGTTAAATCGTTCAATTCATCATGCCATCTTTATAACGCAATAATAACAAAACACACCTCCATATTTCCAAAATAATGGAAATTACATAGTTACTGAGGGATATATTATCTCAACTCACAAGGCTTTTAAATATGTAGCTGTTTACAAACAATCCATTTTGATATGGAATCCAAATCATGTAGGGCCTAATGAATTCATGGATCTTTTTTATTACACAATAAAGTGGCAATAATTTATTTATTTAGCCTCCAATACTGAAGAATAGTTTGACAATTAAAACAATCTTACACTATACCTTATGCTAATTAAACAATTACAATATCGATCATGAATTATACATGAGCAAAATCTAGAGCCAAAATAACAATGGATACATTGGTAAATCAGCCAAAACATCTTCTTTGGTACATAATTGAGACATTCTTACATGAAATAATCAAAACATTATCCCAATTTTTCATTGGAAACTCCATACCTAAACTAATGTTATATAAAACCTCACATGAAAGTTTCTTAAATGTAGGATTTTCCTTAATCAAATTTTCAATCATAATCTTTCTGATATCAACATAATTATCACAACCCATAATAAAATGATAAAGATCTTCTAATGAATTGTTTTTACAATTCTTACACTCCCTATTTTCTCGAGGTAAAGCATGGTTATACATACCCAGCGAAGCATTTGTATTGAAGTCAATGGAGCTGACAATTATTAAAATTATTTTATATGTAATTGCTTTTTGTAAAGTGAAGTAACTTAACGCAACTTTTATCTCCATTTTCATTGGCGAGTACCATTTTTTGATGACATATTTAGCAAAAACCCTTTTGGTATTGTATTGTATTGTATTGTATTGTATTGTATTGTATTGTACTGTATTGTATTGTATTGTATTGTATTGAATTGAATTGTATTAAATTGTATTGTATTGTATTGTATAAACTATATCATTAAGAATTATTTACATTATATTTCAAATAAAGATGGAACTTGATTTGTGAGGTACAGTTCGCAGCGACAATATGATGATCAAACGACCTTTAAAATACTCTAGCACAATTCTATCTAATTAACAACGTACACTATAACATGCATCTTCATCTAATAAAGTTTTATTTGAATAGATTAAAATACCAACAACCTGTCGTGAAAGACGATTAACCTATTTGGTGAATATAAATCATGGATAAAAAGTTCAAAAAGAGATGTCCTTCAAACTACCATAAACGCAAGCTTAAAACATGACAAACATCGAAAATTAAAGTGCATCTTCTTAACCAAAACTCACATTTCCGAAAAACCATATAGGTCACACAAAATGAACAACTTAGGAGTCAGATTCGACAACAAACTCAGCTAAAAAAAATCATGTTCGTTACCTCATTAACAAATACCAAATACGGTAAATGGCCTGAAGTACAATAAAAATATCTCAAAAGTACATGTAGAACGAAACAAATTAGAGAGAATATAGAATTGCATATATATGTTTTATTTATCATTTTTTAAATCAATGTCACATATTAATCAAAAGGTTATAGTAGCTATGACCCCGAAGATGAAGTATAAGGTGCAACATAATGGTATTTACAATATTTTATGATATTATAAGAAAAGAACATGGAACTGTGTAAGTATGATATCGTGCAAAATGGAGAAAATATTGTTTTAGTGGAAATGGTTAAAGGTCTCTTCTTCAATAACAGGTGCATAACAAATATAAAAATGTGAAAAGTAAAAGAATGTTTGTCAGTGGATCAATCCATCTTTTTAGATCAAAGTCTTAAGTTCTCTGAATTGGCATCAAAAAAAGTCTTAAGCACTCTAAAATGGCATCACTAAAGTCTTACGTTTTCTGAATCGGCATTCAATAAATTCTTAAAATCTCTTGATTGGCATCAAAAAAGTCTAAGTACTCTAAAATGGCATCCACTCTTAGGTTTTCTGAATTGGCATTCACTTAAGTCTTATAAGTTTTCTGAATCGGCATCCAATAAAGTTTTAAGTTCTCTGAATTGGATTCCAATAAAGTCTTATAGGTTTTCTGAATCGGCTTCCAATAAAGTCTTAAGTCCTCTGAATCGGCATTCAATAAACTCTTAATTTTTCTGAATTTGCATCCAATAACGTTTTAAAGTTCATTCCATAGAGTTTTAATTTCTCTGAATTTGTGTTAAATTAATACTTAAGTTCCCTGAATTGGTGTTCAGTTCTTGAGTTCTATGGATTGGCATCAAATAAACTCTACATTGTTCTAAATTGGCAGCCAATATTAAGTTGTCTGGACTGGCATCCAATAAAGTCTTAAGTCTTCTGAATTTGCATTCAATAAAGTCTTAATTTCATTGGATTGGCATGCAATAAAGTCTTAAGTTATCTTGATTGGCATCCAATATAATAGTCTTAAGTTCTCAAAATTGGCATCCATTAACGTCTTAAATTCCTTGGGTTGGCATCCAATAAAGTCTCAAGTCTTCTGAATTGGCATCCAATAAAGTCTCATGTCTTCTGAATTGGCATCCAATAAATTCCCAAGTCTTCTGAATTGGCATCCAATAAAGTCTCAAGTCTTCTGAATTGGCATCCAATAAAATCTCAAGTCTTCTGAATTGGCATTCAATAAAGTCTCATGTCTTCTGAATTGGCATCCAATAAATTCCCAAGTCTTGTGAATTGGCATCCAATAAAGTCTCAAGTCTTTTGAATTGGCATCCAATAAAGTCTCAAGTCTTCTGAATTGGCATCCAAAAAAATCTCAAGTCTTCTGAATTGGCATTCAATAAAGTCTCATGTCTTCTGAATTGGCATCCAATAAATTCCCAAGTCTTGTGAATCGGCTTCCAATAAAGTCTTAAGTCTTCTGAATCGGCATTCAATAAACTCTTAATTTTTCTGAATTTGCATCCAATAACGTTTTAAAATCTCTCAATTGGCATTCCATAGAGTTTTAATTTCTCTGAATTTGTGTTAAATTAAGTCTTAAGTTCCCTGAATTGGTGTTCAACAAAGTCTTGAGTTCTATGGATTGGCATCAAATAAACTTTGTTCTAAATTGGCAGCCAATAAAGTCTTAAGTTCTCTGAATTTGTCTCAAGTTCTTTAAATTGGCATTCGATATAGTCTTAAGTTGTCTGGACTGGCATCCAATAAAGTCTTAAGTCTTCTGAATTGGCATTCGATAAAGTCTTAAGTTCTCTGAATTGGCATTCAATAAAGGCTTAGTTCTCTGAATTGGCATTCATAAGGATTAAGAAGAAACTGTCATTAGATAATGGCCAGATTGCGTATTCAATATTTGTTCGTGGCATCTTTCCGAACAATGCATTCAAGCTCACAGTCAGTATGAAGTCATGGTTTGGGGCGAGTCCAAATCATGAAATCCACCATCTTATCACTAAGTTTAATTTTAAGTGAAAATTTTACATTTGTAATTTTGTCAATTTTTCCATATCAAACAGATGAATATGAGCTAGGCATGAGCAAAGGCTGGACTTTAGGGCTTGTTTTTTCAACGAGAGTTGCTGCGACATTAAAAAGTTTAATTTGAAATAAATAGAACAATGCTGCTACTTACCTGTAAATTTCTAAGAAAGCAATTTGTTCCTTATATGGATTCGCATTAGTAATATATTGAGAAGGAAAAAATTCTTAACCCTATGCCCAGTAGAGTATTAGGGACATAGGTCGGTAAGATATATCCCGTATTCTGATTTTGAGGTTCCCATATCCTGAGCCTCCGTATCTCCCGCCATATTTCCCGCTCCAGGGCATATCTTCCCGCTTTGAAAAAATGTTGAAAAAAGATTTAAAAAAAAGAAAAACAATTTGAAAAAATTGATAAAAATGATGAAAAGAAATTAACAAATTTAAAAAATGAGTAAAATTCACTGGGTATAGGATAAAGCAGCTATGTACGATCCCTCATATAGATATGCATGTCTCCCTCTGGATAAGCCACACATCCAAAACCCCCAGTAAATAACCTTTATGTACATGTACAGTATATGTGTAGTGTAAAGTATAAATATAAGCTGTTCATTGACAAAAACTAAGTTTTAAAGCATTACTTTAAAAACTTTTGAGAGACCGAATTAATTTCTGCCTGATTTATGGGGTTCTAAGGAGTTCTCTCGGAAACTCCACTTTGTTCAAGTATTCACTTGAATGTAAAAAGTTGAATAATCATCACACTTAACAATCGAAAATTGTGTACTGCTACTTTGGCAACGTAGAGCAGTAGAGTGTGGCGCAGAATGGAAATAATAAACGTACATAACAATATTGCATAAGAGCGGGTACAAAGAATTGAAACATAGAGCTGGTTGTGTTATCCCAGTATGAATCGAAGTAAGTAATTGTGCACATTAACGTTAAACGGGAAAACAGTTGGTGCTCATTACGTGTGATCTTCGTCATGAACAAATGTTTGACAACACACTTTTAGTCACTATTATGATAATTAATTTATCTGGAGAGATATTTTGCTGGCAAAACAATCGGAAGGTAATGTATGACATTGAGTCATAATATTAATATAGCAAAGCTATTTATACGCATAATACCTTGGAGACAAAACGTGTTTTGACTTGACAAAAACATAGCTCTAAAAATCACAACAAATGGATGGGTCATCATCACGTTTAAAATTCATGAAGTTAAGAAAGTTGTGACCATTCATCGTAATAGTAAGAGAACAAAGAGAGTTTGGAATTACTGATTTTTACGAAGTTTCAGTTAAATGACCCCCAGAATATGTTTCTGACACAACTCTTAATATGAATTGACAGTAAATGACAGGAGCCCATCTTGTATACTTGGCGCCTTAATACAGGGTGGGTCCCCGAAGGCTGAATGTCTAAATTATTCAATCGACACTTATAAAATACAATATATTAAAACATTGACCTTGATTTTCTTACAAAAGGATATACAATTGTTGCTCATCAATACCTAAGATAAAGTATACCCCTCAAAAAAAGTTAAGGACCTTTCCTCATAGGTTTACATGTTAACCCCATATTTGATTGAACGACTATTTTCTAGGTTGGAACTAAAGAAAACCGATAAAGTAAGAAAAATAAATCTGTATCTTAATTCTATTCTCTATAAAGTCTGTAAAATTCAATATTATATCTCCATTACAATGGGTCAAAATTTGATATCAAAATTGATGAATCTCATGAAATTTTGAAAAAATGGCAGACCACATGTCAACCAATAGGTTGCCATGATAAGTCATATGAGGAACGATCCATCCATCCGATTGCTTTCAAAATTGAAATTTTAAGCGACAAATAAATTTGCTAAATTGCCCACTGGAACAAAAATATGATTTAATTTTCCAGGTTTTACAAAAGTTATTGCTTTCAAATTCAATAATTATTTTAATGATCCTCTTGATCTTCTAAAAACACAGGTGGTCAGTGAGGTGGTAAAAATTGCTTCAAAGCTCGCTATCGCCAATTTTAACAATATAAGCTAGACATTTAGCGTGTAGAATGTAAAACCATTCGATTTCTCCTAAGATAGTATTTTTAACAAATGTTTTACTGAACAGATATTCCAAAATTTGAGTTGAAACGAAACGCTGGTATGTATGAATTGCCTAGGCATTCATTCTAACTAATTCGGTACGTTATTGATATCATATTATTTTTTATGTGTTGAATCTTCTTCAAACAAGTGCGATAGGGATAAAAAACAACAAAAAAACTTAATATTCCATACATATAATTGTTAAAAAAATTGACCCACCATATATCCTATTATATGCATTGTGATATGCTTTGACTTGAACAGAAGATTTTTTTCTGAACTAAATTATGATTTTATTGCATTTCTAACAAAAAAGCGAACGGAAGTTACAAACATTCGAAGTATTATTAACCTAATAAATTAACTTCATCTCGAGGCTATGCATACCACTTCAGTGAATATGTTTTCATTATTAATACTGGCTAAGGTGGAGAGAGTATGATACATCAGCAGATATTAGAGAGGTTAAGCTACACGTATTTAACAAAAATAGAAAGTGAACTTTAATGCGCGCGCAGATAAATGACGTCAGATTTGTTTATTTCCTGTGGGCCAGGGTGAAGTTTATAGGTTTTTACACGAGATTATCATATTGGTGCAATTTACAGACGCGTATTCAACAAAGCACGAACGTGAACTTCTATGCGCGCACAGAAAAATGACGTCAGATTAGTCTACTTTCTTTTTTACACGTCGCTCATTATTTTAGCTATGTTCTAGGATGGTCCAGGAGCCCATATTTGATACAGATACTCTTGTTGTTACTTGCTTGTTATATTGGTAAACCCCATTCCTTAATTGGAAATAAGAATACATTTCAATGGGTAAATGACAACTTCAAATGTAATAGTTTTGTTTCATTTCGTACAATATAAATAGGCAGGGCTAATTTAATTGCCCGGGGCTTAGTACAATATGTATACTTAACGAAATGAAATGACAACCAGGGCTTACTATTACCTTATCACTACATATAATTTGCGAACGAGGCATTTTCTTTGTATTACGTCCGCTCTTGATATGAGCAAAAAGTGATACTAAAGTAATTGAATTGTGGTTGAATATGAAATAAAGCAGAAATAAAAAAATGTATTCAATCGACTTATGACGTGCACGGACCTGGGAACAATTAGAGAAATACGGCCTAATGTCACCTTTAAACGTTAATACCCGCCTAAGTAAAAAACCTAAGCATGTGTTTCATGTATCATTTTGAAGCTTTTTTATGCGCGTTTCAATGATACTATTTTTGCTCGAAAATTTCGATGTGATCTACCATTTTTCTAAAGTTAAAACTTCCCCAACATCGAAAAATACGTTGTAAGACGTAACACTTTAGAATAACTTTTGAAATAATAATCAGAATCCCATGAAATTTTCACATTTTATTCAATTTACCATGTGTATTTATGACTTCATAATTGCGCAACGGCTACAATTCGAATTTTCTTATTTGGACGCTTGCCACAATTTTCAAAATTATGTGAGGTTTTTCATCCGAAGGGGACAAGCGATAAGTTTACCTTAATTTGATCTTCTTATTTAGGTTTGATTTGAATGAAAAATAAACTGCACAATATTGTCACGGCGAAATTTACAAAACAAAAACCGGATTGTTTATTTTGCAAATAATATTAAAATAAGAGCTGATTTTCCAGACTTGAAAAAAATGTGACGCATCGTTTTTTACCACAAATTCCATATCAATTTTCACTAACGCCTCAAGTGGATTTCCCGACCGTTTTTCAAAATTCAAAATCATTTTAGAAATATTGTCCTCGAGATCTTGCTACCCTGTGAATTTTATCGTGATTAGATAAGGATAAAGGATTTTATTTTGAGGTTGACTAAACTTGAAAAAAATGTGACGCTCGTCGTTTTTGACGTTGTAATGCTGTTTGCGCCCTATACTGCTCATTGTTTTGTTTTGGTATTTTGACGCCATAATGTTACCCTAATTGTTCCCAGCTTCGTGCGACGTGTAACTAGATTTGAACCAGGCCTAGAGGACACGAGTACTAAGTGCTAATAAAAAACAAAAATGTATTCAATCGACTATCAGGCCAATGCTGAAGTGGACACGAGTATTAAGTGCTAACCATTACACATATTATGTACATGTTTGTACGTACTCATTGCAGTACCTTATAAAATACAGCACATGCTATGTAATGCAAATAACCAGCATGCAAGAACATTTTATCAGTAATATGGTGGAAATAACAGAACTGTAGACAGATTGGTTCCGACGGATACTGCCCTTGATGTTGTAATATATTTGCGCTCTCTGACCCTTGGATGGAACACTGTGGGGTTCGCTTTCACTTTCACTTTAAATGACGTTAAATGTTGATTTGGATAAACAAGGTGCGATGCGTTTCTACTCGTTGAACAATAACACCATGAAGAAGTGTAAACATTTAAAATCCAGCTTCAGATTGAAAAATGTTTGGTACGCATTCCTCTTTCTTACAACAGGTTGTTTTATTGGGATCCTCCTCACAAGATATGGCTACGTTTTAGAAAAGATCGACGTCAAAGTAACAATTGTCGGTGGAAATAGTACCAATGACTTGTTCCATAGTCCGGAAGTGGGCACGGACAATAACAATACCAAGTTTCGGGTGCCGAATATTGTTCATTTTATTTGGTTCGGAAAGAATAGGGAGATGACATTTATTCAGATGGTTAGTATTATGAGTGCCCATAAGATACAGCAACCCGATGTGATAATGTTCCACTGTGATTTTCTTCCATCGGGAAAATACTGGGACGAATTGAAGAGGAACATACCGATAAAAATCATCCATCGTGACCAACCAAAAGAAATATTTGGTCAAAGCATTCTGCATGTCTACCATAGAGGCGACATCGCAAAACTACAAATTCTGCAAGAATTTGGTGGCATTTATATGGATTATGATGTCATAATGGTAAACAAAATGAATCAGTTGAGGAGATTCGACATGGTCATTGGCCAAGAGAAACGGAAAAAGTTCAATGCTGGGATTATATTATCACACAAAGATGCTATTTTTCTAAAACTTTGGTACGAATCATACAGGAACAATTACCGAGCCTTTGACTGGGATTATAATTGTGGCCGGTTACCATATGGAATATATTTGGAGAGACCTGATTTGCTACACGTTGAACCCTACAAATTCACCACGCCTGATTGGACAGAGCGACATCTTTTGTTTAATGAGGTTATCAATTGGAGAGAGTTGTATGCGATACATTTAATGCTTCATTTAGATTGGACAAAATACACACCCGAAACAGTGAAAACGTTGAATAACACATTCGGAGAAGTAGTTCGGTATGTTTATTATGGCGATTCTAAAGTCATACAAAATTAGTTGCAATAATTACATGAAAAGGATTTACATGGATATAAAGCCTACCTTACACCAGCTACAGGTAAAATTGACAAAGACAGGGATTGGAATTAACTTGAGATTACTGAGCAAAGCCACTTTGGTTGTTCAACTTTGTGAACACATTCTCAGGCAAATCACATCCGATATTTCGAGGCCAATATCAAGGAAACATTCATTGAACGCTACATACTTAACAAAATAAGGCTCAATAGCTGAGAGAGCATATATCATATGTAATATATACTTTTAGAACCACATTTTTAATAAATAAGTTACTTTAATATTTGACAACAAGTGATACGTATTGACATTTACGTAGCCAGGAAGAAAAAAGCTACGAGGCAAAAATATTTCCAAACCTCATCTCGCTTGCCTGGCAATAGAAGAACACGATGATAACCCTTACGTAATGAGATTGTACACAATATTGAATCAAAAGTTGATGACTTAAGATCAATTAAAGCTATACAATTAACTTTACAACTTGTCACTGCTAGAGTAATATTTCTCAATGGATGTGAAAAAAGACGAGGGGCCTAATCCTGACTACACTAGAGATTGAATATATGTGTTTAACCTGAGGGATGATTTGCTGTTGACCTTGGCCAGAGTTATGCTGACACCCGCATACAATCCCATGCGATTTTTATTATTCTATCGATTCCCTTATGAGTAAAACCTTTTGGATATCATCATGATATTAGGTTTATAAAACACATTGATGAAAACGATATTTTAAGATATTCTCGTCCACTTTGATGAAAACCGTCGGCATTTGAAACCAGTCTATATTAAATTGATGAGCTGAAATTAGCACCTTGCGAGCAGAAATGAAATTCCTTTGAATCTTGTAAATTAAAATAAATGAAACTCTCCCTTCTCTAATTTATCAATGTGCAAATATAAAATGGAGGCCCCATGTTTTGTTTTGAATATCATTGTGATCATATAAAAGGTTATTCCCCCGGTTGTGGTTGCATATTTGCCCGCATATTTGGTATAACTTATTTGTTAAAGGTACTACCCTTCTTAAAACTAAAGTACTCGTTTCTTTAAGTGTATTGGACACCCTGTAATGGATTTACGTTCATTTTGTATAGGTGGAGACATATAGTGGTATCATAACATTACCAATATGAACAATTTCGGTGGCCGCCGCCGCAAAATGTGCAACTTTTCATAAAAAGAGTCAACGGTGGTAGCAGTCTTTTTACCTTTGCAATGTACATTGTACTATCGACCTCGGCGTCATATCCACTTTATTTTATACGAGTTTAGAAGCCAATAAAGATTGATGGCAGTGTAACCTTTTTGAGGAGAAACTGAGCAAATATTTGAACATGTAATTAAACCAGAAGTCACAAATGGATCCATCTTAAACTGACATTTTATTGCATTCGGATGATATTGGAAATTGATCACTCATAATTGTAATTGTAAATTCCTATGGATTTAACAAAACTTAAAATCTTTAAAGAGATACTCGAGTTACATTTAGTGTTTACAAGAATGTTTATGCATAACTTTAACTTGTTACTCATTAAAATGTTCACCTTTTTTTATACAAAACCTAAAAGGTGAATTACGAAAACTAAAAGGTGAATTCTCATAAATATATATTTTTATTATTCCTCTAGACATTTCAATGTTTTATGATTTAAATGACAAAATATATTACCATCGTCAAGTATAAAATTCATTTTTATATGTGCTTCGGGGTTCCCCTGACATAGGGATACGGCGCTAATGTTTTCAAGTAAAAACAAACTTATTTGTTAAAGGTACTACCCTTATTAAAACTAAAGTACTCGTGTCTTTAAGTGTATTGGATACCCTGTAATGGATTTAAGTTCATTTTGTATCGGTGGAGACATATAGTGGTACCATAGGTAGTTAAGATCCTGCTTCAAAGCATTATTGATAATGAATTTATTCCTAACAACTTTCAAATTGGTATACTATTGCCTCTTCTCAAATCAGGTATCCGGGATCCACTAGAAAAAGACAATTTTAGGGGGATTACCCTCATGTCTGTTCTTAGGAAGGTTTTTGATAATATCCTTCTGATCAGAAGCAAACCAGTTATCCTAATAAATATCCCCCAGTTACAAGGGGCATCTCAATCTAATTGCTCATCGATCCATACATCCCTGATTGTACAAGAGACAATAGCTCATAATCTTGACAAAGGTAATAATGTATACTTGTCTACAATTGATATCCGCAAGGCCTTCGATACTGTGTGGCTTAACGGGCTTCTTTTTAAGTTATTTAACATTGGCATAAATGGTAAATTGTGGAGACTCCTTCGAGAATCTTACAAAAATTACAAGTGCATGGTACGTGTGGATACACTCTCTGCTCCGTTCTGTGTACTTCAAGGAGTTCATCAGGGCGGGGTATATTCTATGTTAATGTACCAATTATATAATGCTGACTTAATCCTAGAATTGCAATCGTTAAAGTTGGGTGCATTAGTTGGTGGGTTGGATATCACATGTCCAGTTTACGCCGATGATACATCAATAGTTACTACAAGCACGACATCTATGAATGCACTGTTAAATTTGGCATACAATCACAGCCGTAAGTGGCGGTATGATATCCATCCTGATAAATGTAATGTGATGATTTTCGGAAATAATCACCACGCTGTGCAGCCTACGTTCAAAATTGGCGACAAGCAGGTGAATATTGTGCAAAATCAAACCCATGTAGGTATACCCTTATCAACTAGTGGAAGCGTTTCCGAATATGTTGAGAAGGCGGTTACGTCTGGTAAAAGGAAATATTTCTCTCTACTTGGTCTAGGGAGTACTTGTGGTGGACTCAATCCTCTAACGGCATCACGCCTTTATTGGACTCTGTCTATCCCTACAATGCTATACGGTAGTTCAATCATTTCTTATTCGAATAATGATGTTGAATTAATCCAAACAGCCCATAGGCAGATTGGAAAACGCATTCAATGTCTTCCTAAATTTGCTGATAATGTATTTTCAACTGATCCACTGGGCTGGATGGACATCGAGTATAAAATCGCCTTGGATAAATTAATGTTCTTCCTTATGTTGATAACACTACCGGTAAAAAATATTTATAAGCAGGTCTTTCTTTATCGAGCTACGGAATTCCAGTATAATGGTCACGGTGGTGCTGCGTCACCACTTAATACAATATGGAATGTTTTAAGCAGATTTAATCTTTTAGATGCTGCAACTAATATGATAAACACAGGTGTCTACCCATCAAAGGGAATATGGCGTAAATTAGTTTTAGGTAGGCTACGTCAAAGCCAAAATGCAACGTTTATGATTAAATGTGCTATAAAAAGTGCAACACATTTGTATGTAAGTGTAAAATGCTTTGCTCAGCCACTTAAATGGTGGACACTCAGTTTCAAATACCCTAGAGATTTAAAATATTGTAAATTAATGGTCAATTTGCTTATGAACCAGACACTCAATGGAAATAAAAAATGGGGTGACAGAAAATGTAATATATGTGATACTGGCGAAATAGAAACATTGGATCACTTTTTACGTTTCTGCAATTCCATAGATGCGGAAAGAGTTGCACTTCTCAATTTATTTAGAATTGGTAATGATGACATTATATTTCAAACTTTCAAATCAGACAATGATGAAGCAATGATTTTAAAACCCAAAGCTGTATTTCTAATGTATGCAAAGCGTAACATGCTTATGCAAATGTGATTTTATTGTTAATGCAAAACAAAAATTGTAAATGTACTCACAATATATACTTGTGGTAATAAAGGATACAATACAATACAATAACATTACCAATATGAACAATTTCGGTGGCCGCCGCAAAATGTGCAACTTTTCATAAAAAGAGTCAATGGTAAGAAGTCTTTTTAAATTTGCAAAGCCCATAGTACTATCGACCTCGGCGTCATATCCACTTTATTTTATACGAGTTTAGAAGCCAATAAAGATTGATGGCAGTGTAGCCTTTTTGAGGAGAAACTGAGCAAATATTTGCCCATGTTATTAAACCAGAAGTCACAAATGGATCCATCTTGAACTGAAATTTTATTGCATTTCGATGATATTGGAAATTGATCATTCATAATTGTAATTGTAAATTCCTATGGATTAAACAAAACTTAAAATCTTTAAAGAGATACTCGAGTTACATTTAGTGTTTACAAGAATGTTTATGCATTACTATAACTTGGTACTCATTAAAATGTTCAACCATTTTATACAAAACCTTTAAACTTAAAAGGTGAATTCTCATAAATATTTTTTTATTATTCCTCTTGACATTTCAATGTTTTATAATTTAAATGACATAATATATTGCCACCGTCAAGTATAAAATTCATTTTTATATGTGCTTCGGGGTTCCCTGACATAGAGATACGGCGCTAATGTTTTCAAGTTAAAATTGAGTCGCACCTAGTGCTGTTTCTTATAACGCTGATATCTTTTCGAGAGAACATTACTCGAGAAACAACTCTCCACTCTCAGTTCTCTGCAAGTTAAAATTAAGAATCCTGCAAGTGGAACTAGTAAATTCCGTAAATGAAATGGGCCAATTGTATAGTTTTTAAATAGCTGAATAACGCTGACATAATAGATGTCGCCATTGTTTGTCTTGGGCCAGACCTCCATTCACCTCGATGCTAGAAACTTGCAATAGTCACTTAATTTCACGATTCATCAAAAAGTGTTGGTTGGATTTGTCTGAAACTCGAATGTCATGCTATTGGCTGACCCTGTCAATGTATATAATTTGTGATTAAACATGAAAATGTTGGTTGTTATACAAATAAGCTAAGGTTTTAATGAATTTTAGCATTGCACCAATGGAGATTTGGCCCAAGTTTTTATTAAATGTCATGCAAAAATTAAATGTCATGATTTAAATGACTGTGTAAATCAAAGGTATCATTGGAGAAAACTTGTCACTGAATTCAAATATGCTATCAAAAATAAAGAAAAATAAGTCATTGGAGGTAAAAAGTGCAAATCTCTTAAGATCTCATGAAAAAACGAGAATTAGCGAGATTTCAACGCTATTTAGAGACTTCTCTATTCTGCAAGGATTTTGCGATATTTCCCTGAAATTTTTTAGTTCAGCTTTATGAAAGACAACAATGATAAAACTATATAAGAACAGAAAATCAAATCTGCAAAATTGTGGACAGTGGTAAATTCTGTCAGCGCTGCACTGTACACGGAAAGGGGAAACCGGGGAAGCGATTCTAAATTATATATTTTATTAGTAGTATTACTTTACACACGCTCATTTTACCTTTTGTAATAAATTTATCATACTACATATTTATTGCCGCATTAAAGCGATAAACCGATATTTAATGATTTATATCGTATTTAAGTCAGGAAGGTAATTAACGGTAAAAATAGTATGTAGTCACCGAACATGAGTGCATGTGCACCTAAGTACTTGTACACATACATGCACTCAAACAGGAATAGCTCGCTTTGTTGCATGATCGAAGATAGGTTAAAAGTGACGGTGGAAAAACAAGATGGCTGAAACCAGGAAGCATCTGGCATTTGAGTGTAATTTCACCATGAAAATTACAATCTCCTGTTGAATTTTTCGCGCAATTTTTAGTTCCACTTAAATCCTGGAATGGGAAAATTTTAGTCCGCTGAAAATGTATCAAAAATATAAAAAAAGAGTAGCAAAATCCCAGGACATTTTTTTAAAATTCTCTGTCTCTTAAATATAACCCAGAATCAAAGGAGCTCTAGAATTTTGAAATCTCACAACAAATTTATTGAAATACTGATTTGAGAATTGCATCTTTTTCCATCTTTTATTTGATCCCCAATTTTTGGGATTGGCGAACTTTTCAAATATCCGTTGCTCCCTCGTTTTTTATATAATATAAGTTTGAAATATATTTTCTGAAATGACCACGGAAGGTATTGCAACAGAGTTTAGACAGTCATATGTTGGATCTGTTGGATTGTGGCTATTTTCTGAAGATTTGAAAAGGTGTATATGTTAGGCAAATGCATTATCGAAAGTAAAAGTACTCATAGAGATGATCAAATAATTTTGACTTCCGAGACAGGAAAGGTGCGAACACCCAAACAACATGTTTTTCAAAAATATATTCCTGATCTCCATCCCCTTCCACTCGTTTTTTCAATGTTTTATGCATCAATATGTTGCATTTGCAGAGTTAGTTAACCTAATTAAAAGCAAAATATTTTTCAAGATATTCTGGGTAAAGTGGATTACTAGGAGTAGGGGGAGTTCTTAATAAACATAGTTCATTCATGCATACTATTGTACTTGTATTGTATTATTTTAACAATAAATTATATATTTCTATTTTGTTTTGCTTTTCTTTATTACCTGAAGCAGTTTCAATGTTTTTAACTTAATCACACTCATTTATTTTTAAATCGATATTCAGAAATTTGTTTACATTTTATTTTTAGACTTGTTAAGACTTTTATTACACATACTTTTATACGCCGAAACAACATATACACACAAAGAAGTTTTTGTACCTTATTCGATTCTTAACTTCACATGTAAGATTGTAAAAAAGGCACATAGTCGTGATTTTTATTTGTAATTTTGTTATTAGTGTTTTTATTTTACCTATTGAAAACAACAATACATAAATAAAAGCATACTTTTAGAAGCGAAGTCAAACGAATGCAAAGGGTAGTATTTCTATTTCGGTAACTATTATATTGACACTCACTCGCTACGCTCTTTCGGTCAATATAATATTTCCCTCGGTCAATATCATATTACCATGGAATAAAATTCATATTAAAAATCAAGCATGAAATAACCTTTTCATTCCATAATTTAATTTTTGAGAATTCAAGGAAAAAGATATTTCAGGAAAATTAAAAAATTAAATTTTTTAGAAAAACTGAAAAACTGATTCAAATGGAAATTAAACATTAATATTGAAAAAACGAAAGTTGTGATTTTTAATAAATCAAGAAAAATAATAAAACACAGTCATTTTAAATTTGGAAGTATAAATATAGAAAAAGTAAATGAATATAAATATTTGGGATTTGTTTTAAAAAGCTCTGGGAGTTTGAAACATGGCATATCAGAATTAAGCAAGAAGGCGTTGAAAGTTATTTTTATGATGAGACAAAATTTTAAGTTTTCAACTATCAATGTAGAATTGCACACAAAAATCTTTGACATGTGTGTTAAGCCTATATTATTATACGGAAGTGAATTTTGGTCAATGCTTCACTTGAAAGTTGACAGAAGGATTAGTCAAGGGGACCTTTAACTAGAGAGTTCTTATGAAGACTTTATTCCTGAAAAAATACACAATAAATTTTGCAAATTCCTTTTAGGGGTTAACAAATATACTTCAAGTTATGCCGTAAAAAAGATTTAGGAAGATTTCCATTAGCTATAGAATCACTTATATATTCCATAAAATATTGGTTGAAATGTGTGCATCAAACAAACGCGGATAGCTTAATAAATATATCATTTCGGGATAAAAATAACATATATGTCAAACATATGGAATGCATATTAAAGTACTTTCATTTTCAACATGTCTTTGAAAATGGGAGTACGTTTGGAATAAAACGATTACTAAAAGCAATTAAACTTGAAATGCAAAGAAAATATATAGAACTTAATGATAGAGCCATAAGGGAAAATAGAAAACTTGGAAATTATATAAAAATTGATTACAATCTGGAAAGATATTTAACATTAAGCGTGAACAAAATGTTAATTTTTAAAATGGCCAGGTTTAGATTAGCAAACCATAATTTAAGAATTGAAACAGGGAGACACGAGAAAAAGAAAAAAGATGGCACTAAACAGCATCGACTTGAAATAAATGAAATAATTTGTCAGATTTGCAATAAGGGGGAAGTAGAGGATGAAAAACATTTTCTTCTTGTGTGTGATGGCTATAAAAAATGTAGATTTGAATTTTTTAATAAACTAAGTTTTATTGACACATTTGATAATATGTCAGATGAAGAAAAATATAACTTTTTGATGACTTCTGATGATTTTGAAATTGTTAACGAATTGATACATTTTATAAATAAACTTTTTAATCAGCGTCGGGAGCTATTTGAAAAAGGAAAGATTGTATGATGGTATTTGTGAAACAATGCATGTTGTTTTTTTAACTGTATAATTATATGTAAATGTCTTGTAATTGATTTTGTGAGGAAACCAAGTGTTTGGTTTGAAACACAATAAAATCTTGAATCTTGAGTCTTCAAAATAGAATTTTTTTTAAATAAATGAAAATCTTTGAAAAATTGCAATTTTTTGAAAAAATGAAAATTTCTGAAATTCGGAAAAAATTGGAAAAATCAAATTTTTTGAAAAAAAAAATGATTTTTTTGAAAAAAATAGGGACAATATGATTTTTTTCCAGGGACAATATGATTTTTCGAGTATATATGATTTTTTACAGGGACAATATGATTTTTCGAGTATATATGATTTTAAGAGGGATAATATGATTTTATTTCCCAGGGAAAACAGTAGTATTATGGAATAAAAACAGATATGCCATTAATATAAAATTGTTATTTTCAAACAGATATTAGCAGATGTACAGTATTTCATTATATCAATGTTTTAAAACAGATATTTCATTTTGTCCGATGGATACTAAATATATATGTGAATAACAACACAAGATAATTTTGGTATTTGCCGCTAAAATCGTATCCGATCCATATAACTTGATATCCAAATATCCAATCGTATCCGACGGATACTATTTAAAAAAAATTATTTATATGAATTTCACTATATAACAGAATTGGCGAGGAGCCCATGAGCCCCTAACATCAACCCAGTCCCTTATTAAGGATAGAATTGTTGAGTACTGGAATTCATTGTCTCAACAGCATATCAATGATGCTATTGACTAGTTAAGGCCAAAACTGAGGGCTATAATTGATCAAAATGATGGACACATTAAACGTCTGTTTATGTAAATAAAGTTGACAATTAAAGAAACTTGGTTTTTGCAAGATTTAGAAAACCTGTTTTGAAACGAAAATGACGTCACTTATATAATGGACACTGGTTGACAGACATTATGATAAATTTGAAATTATGATATACCAAATTAAAGATGAATAAATTCCCTTTCCACTGGTATATAATATGACATGCTTTGAACAAGAAAATCAATATTTATTTTTGAAATACGAGTGTCACATTTTTTGAACCACCCTGTATATTTATCTAAATTAAATAGGTGTAATTGTTGAAAAAATTGACACAAGCTGTACCATTATATATGCATTCTAATATACTTCATCTTGAATAAAAGTTTTTCTCCGCTAAAATATGACTTGATTTAATTGCATTTTTAACTAAAAGCTCGAGGCCACGCATAAAATATGAACTTAGTGGAAACCGAGCGTGAGAAGGTGATGCGTACCGCTTACGTTTTTATTAATACTAAATGCAAAGTGGAGTGGATATGATACATCAGCTATGTACTCATGGCAGTATACCTAAACAAAGCATATTGAACAAATAAACAATCATATCAAGAACTTTGCGGACATAATATCACTAATAGACCCGCAATGTGGTGAAAATAACAGAACTGGAGACAGAATGGTTCTGACGAATTGAAACTGGCTTGAGTGCAAGTAATTGAGTACGCTCTACTGAAGATAACTGACCTATATTAGAGGTGCAGTTTTACTTACCTATTAATGACAATATTGATTAGCATAAATAGACGGCAGTGTGATGCGTATCCGCACGTTGAATAATTACACCATGAGGAAGTGTAGACAATTCAAATCAAGCTCCAGTCAGAAGATTTGGTATGCATTTCTCTCTCTCACGACGGGTTGTTTCATTGGGATTCTCCTCACAAGATATGGCTACGTTTTAGAAAAGATCGAGGTCAACGTAGCAATTGACTGTGTAAATGGTACCAAAATCTTGTTTCACAGTCCGGAAGTGGACAATAACACTACCAACTTTCGTGTGCCCAATATTGTGCATTTTATTTGGTTCGGAAAGAATAGGGAGATGACATTCATTCAGATGGTTAGTATTATGAGTGCCCATAAGATACAGCAACCCGATGTGATAATGTTCCACTGTGATTTTCTTCCATCGGGAAAATACTGGGACGAATTGAAGAGGAACATACCGATAAAAATCATCCATCGTGACCAACCAAAAGAAATATTTGGTCAAAGCATTCTGCATGTCTACCATAGAGGCGACATCGCAAAACTACAAATTCTGCAAGAATTTGGTGGCATTTATATGGATTACGATGTCATAATGGTAAACAAAATGAATCAGTTAAGAAGATATGACATGGTCATTGGCTTAGAGAAACGGAAAAAGTTCAATGCTGGGATTATATTATCACACAAAGATGCTATTTTTCTAAAACTTTGGTATGAATCATACAGGAACAATTACCGAGCCTTTGACTGGGATTATAATTGTGGCCGATTACCATATGGAATATATTTGGAGAGACCTGATTTGCTACACGTTGAACCCTACAAATTCACCACGCCTGATTGGACAGAGCGACATCTTTTGTTTGATGAGGTTATCAATTGGAGAGAGTTGTATGCGATACATTTAATGCTTCATTTAGATTGGACAAAATACACACCCGAAACAGTGAAATCGTTGAAAAACACATTTGGAGAAGTAGTTCGGAATGTTTATTATGGCGATTCTAAAGTCATACAGAATTAGAGTTGCAATAATTACATGAAAAGGATTTACATGGATAAAGCCTACCTTGCACCAGTTACAGGTAAAATTGACGAAGAGAGGGATTGAAATTTACTTGAGAGCAAAGCCACTTTGGTTGTTCAACTTTGTGAACACATTCTCAGGCAAATCACATCCGATATTTCGAGGCCAATATCAAGGAAACATTCATTGAACGCTACATACTTAATAAAATAAGGCTCTACTGTCAATAGCTGAGAGAGCATATATCATATGTCATATATACTTTTAAAGAACCACATTTTAAATAAATAAGTTACTTTAATATTTGACAACAAGTGATACGTATTGACATTAGCTACGAGGCAAAACTATTTCCAAACCTTATCTCGCTTGCCTGGCAATAGAAGAACACGATGAAAACCCTTACGGAATGAGATTGTACACAATATTGAATCAAAAGTTGATGACTTGAGATCAATTAAAGCTATACAATTAACTTTACAACTTGTCACTGCTAGAGTAATATTTCTCAATGGATGTGAAAAAGACGAGGCGCCTCATCCTGACTACACTAGAGAAGTAGAGATTGAATATGTGTTTAAGGCTAGAGTTATGCTGACATCCACATACAATCCCATGCGATTTTTATTATTCTATCGATTCCCTTATGAGTGAAACCTTTTGGATATCATCATGATATTAGGTTTAAAATAAGTAAAACTCTCCCTTCTCTAATTTATCAATGTGCAAATATAAAATGGAGACCCCATGTTTTGTTTTGAATATCATGGTGATCATATAAAAGGTTATTCCCCCCGGTTGTGGTTGCATATTTGCCCGCATATTTGGTATAACTTTTTTGTTAAAGGTACTACCCTTCTTAAAACTAAAGTACTCGTGTCTTTAAGTGTATTGGATACCCTGTAATGGATTTACTTGCATTTTGTATCGGTGGAGACATATCGTGGTACCATAACATTACCAATATGAACAATTTCGGTGGCCGCCGCAAAATATGCAACTTTTCGTAAAAAGAGTCAATGGTAAGAAGTCTTTTTACCTTTGCAAAGCACATAGTACTCTCGACCTCGGCGTCATATCCACTTTATTTTATACGAGTTAAGAAGCCAATAAAGATTGATGACAGTGCAGCCTTTTTGAGGAGAAACTGTGCAAATATTTGCACATGTAATTAAACCAGAAGTCACAAATGGATCCATCTTGAACTGACATTTTATTGCATTACGATGATATTGGAAATTGATCATTCATAATTGTAATTGTAAATTCCTATGGATTTAACAAAACTTCAAATCTTTAAAGAGATACTCGAGTTACATTTAGTGCTTACAAGAATGTTTATGCATTTCTATAACTTGTTACTCATTAAAAAGTTCAACCAATTTTATACAAAACCTTTAAACTTAAGGTGAATTCTCATAAATATTTTTTTTATTATTCCTCTAGACATTTCAATGTTTTATAATTTAAATGACAAAATATATTACCATCGTCAAGTATACAATTCATTTTTATATGTGCTTCGGGGTTCCCCTGACATAGGGATACAGCGATAATGTTTTCAAGTTAAAATTGAGTCGCACCTAGTGCTGTTTCTTATAACGCTGATATCTTTTCGAGAGAATATTACTCGAGAAACGACTCTCCACTCTCAGTTCTCTGCAAGTTGAAATGAAGAATCCTGCAAGTAGAACTAGTAGAACCGTAAATGAAATGCAATAGTCACTTAATTTCACGATTCATCAAAAAGTGTTGGTTGGATTTGTCTGAAACTTGAATGGCATGCTATTGGCTGACCCTGTCAATGTATATAAATTGTGATTAAACATGAAAATGATGGTTGTTATACAAATAAGCCAAGGTTTTAATGAATTTTAGCATTGCACCAATAGAGATTTGGCCCAAGTTTTTATTAAATGTCATGAAAAAATTAAATGTCATGATTTAAATGACTGTGTAAATCAAAGGTATCATTGGAGAAAACTTGCCACTGAATTCAAATATGCTATCAAAAATAAAGAAAAATAAGTCATTGGAGGTAGAAAGTGCAAATCTCTTAAGATCTCATGAAAAAACGAGAATTAGCGAGATTTCAACGCTATTTAGAAACTCCTCTATTCTGCAAGGATTTTGCGATATTTCCCTGAAATTTTTTAGTTCAGCTTTATGAAAGACAACAATGATAAAACTATATAAGAACAGAAAATCAAATCTGCAAAATTGTGGACAGTGGTAAATTCTGTCAGCGCTGCACTGTACACGGAAAGGGGAAACCGGGGAAGCGATTATAAATTATATATTTTATTAGTAGTATTACTTTACACACGCTTATTTTACCTTTTGTAATAAATTCATCATACTACATATTTATTGCCGCATTAAAGCGATAAACGGATATTTAATGATTTATACTGTATTTAAGTCAGGAAGGCAATTAACGGTAAAATATACAGTATGTAGTCACCGAACATGAGTGCATGTGCACCTAAGTACGTGTACACATACATGCACTCGAAGGCATATAATAAAACCATCATGATAAACCATGCCATCTCAAATCTTCTCAGCCCTGATATGCCATGATATAATGAGCTTGATTTGGCGATCCAGGAGAGCCCAAAATTGAGGATTTTTGAGATCTTTCATCCCAGCTCATATTTCATCTAATTGGGGTCATTAAACTTGTGTAACTGTGCCTGTTGTAATATCTGCTGTTAAATACAATGCCTATTATGTAATTAAGGTAGATGATTACATGATAACAATCACACTTATTGACAGTTATAACTTTTCCCATCTGATTTGCTCAGATCACAGAATATGCCTCATAATATCAGAGCATGTTTCAGGTGAAACAGAAAGATGCTATGAATATATCAGAATGTAATAAAACAGGAATCGCTCGCTTTGTTGCATGATCGAAGATAGGTTGAAGGTGACAGTGAAAAAAACAAGATGGCCGAATCCAGGAAGCATCTGGCATTTGGGTATAATTTGACCATTAAAATTACAATCTTCCGGTTGAATTTTTCGCGCAATATTTAGTTCCACTTAAATCTTGGAATGGGAATTTTAGTCCGCTGAAAATGTATCAAAAATATAAAAAGAGTAGCAAAGTCCCAGGACATTTTTTAAAAAATTCTCTGTCCCTTAAATATAACCCAGAATCAAAGGAGCTCTAGAATTTTGAAATCTCACAACAAATTGATTGAAATGCTGATTTGAGAATTGCATCTTTTTCCATCTTTTATTTGATCCCCAATTTTTGGGATTGGCGAACTTTTCAAATATCCGTTGCTCCCTCGTTTTTTATATAATATAAGTTTGAAGTATATTTTCTGAAAGGACCACGGAAGGTTTTGCAACAGAGTTTAGACAGTCATATGTTTGATCTGTTGGATTGTGGCTATTTTCTGAAGATTTGAAAAGGTGTATATGTTAGGCAAATGCATTATCGAAAGTAAAAGTACTCATAGAGATGATCAAATAATTTTGACTTCCGAAACAGGAAAGGTGCGAACACCCAAACAACATGTTTTTCAAAAATATATTCCTGATCTCCATCCCCTTCCACTCGTTTTTTCAATGTTTTATGCATCAATATGTTGCATTTGCAGAGTTAGTTAACCTAATTAAAAGCAAAATATTTTTCAAGATATTCTGGGTAAAGTGGATTTCTAGGAGTAGGGTGAGTTCTTAATAAACAGAGTTCATTCATGCACACTATTGTACTTGTATTGTATTATTTTAACAATAAATTATATATTTCTATTTTGTTTTGCTTTTCTTTATTACCTGAAGCAGTTTCAATGTTTTTAACGTAATCATACTCATTTATTTTTAAATCGATATTCAGAAATGTATTTACATTTTATTTTTATATAAAATTGTTACTTTCAAACAGATATTAGCAGATGTACACTCCCCTCCATAAGTTTGGCAACCTTTTTTCCCCATTGAACTACGTGTTAAAGCCTCTTTACCTTTGAATTTTTATTTACTTAACCTACTATGAAAATACTTATACTATTAATGGAAACGTAATTTGACTTTAATTCCAATACCTCCAAATTTTTTCATTTTTTTCATCAATTACAATAGGTCGAATATTGATGATAAATTTGATGAATTTTTGAAAATCGACATTCCCATGTTAACCAATGAGAAATGGTAGGTTTGCCGCAAGTCATATGACAGAATATCCATCTATCCGAGTCCTTGCAAAAATACGAGTTAGGCAGGCAATTGAATTTGCTAACTTTATTTAACAAAAAATTGATATGTTTCTTCAGGTTCAACAAAGTTATAGGGCTTTAAAGTCAAAAGTGTTTTTCAAAAAACCTCTCCCATTGAAATAACACAGGAGACGAAAAATTATTTTCAAAAATGACTTTGAAGCGCTGTAACTTTAATATTCATCAAATAAACTAAACACTTAGTGTTCAAAAAAGTTAGACAATTCAATTTTCTATATAAAAATATTTTTGCTGAATCTTTTACTGAAAAAGTATCCTGATTTCTGATTTGCCCCGAACCCTCCATTTCCCATTGGATTACATGGGAATGACGATTTTCAAAAATTCATCAAATTTATCATCAATTTCCGACCTATTGTAATTGAGGAAAAAAATGAGAAAATGTGTAGGTATTGGAAATAAAGTCAAGTTACGTTTCCATTAATATCATAAGTTATTTCATCGCCGGTTAAGTAAATAAAAATTCAAACGTGAAGAGGCTTTAACACGTAGTTCAATTGGGGAAAAAGGTTGCCAAACTTATGGAGGGGAGTGTATTTCATTATATCAATGTTTTAAAACAGATATTTCATTTTGTCCGATGGATACTAAATATATATGTGAATAACAATACAAGATAATTTTGGTATTCGCCGCTAAAATCGTATCCGATCCATATAACTTGATATCCAAATATCCAATCGTATCCGACGGATACTATTTAAAAAAAAATATTTATATGAATTTCACTATATAACAGAATTGGCGAGGAGCCCGTGAGCCCCTAACATCAGCCCAGTCCCTTATTAAGAATAGAATTGTTGAGTACTGGAATTCATTGTCTCAACAGCATATCAATGATGCTATTGACTAGTTAAGGCCAAAATTGAGGGCTATAATTGATCAAAATGGTGGACACATTGAACGTCTGTTTATGTAAATAAAGTTGACAATTAAAGAAACTTGGTTTTTGCAAGATTTAGAAAACCTGTTTTGAAACGAAAATGACGTCACTTATATAATGGACACTGGTTGACAGACATTATAATAAATTTGAAATTATGATATACCAAATTAAAGATGAATAAATTCCCTTTCCACTGGTATATAATATGACATGCTTCGAACAAGAAAATCTTTGAAATACGAGTGTCCCATTTTTTGAACCACCCTGTATATTTATCTAAATTAAATAGGTGTAATTGTTGAAAAAATTGACCCAAGCTGTACCATTATATATGCATTCTAATATGCTTCATCTTGAATAAAAGTTTTTCTCCGCTAAAATATGACTTGATTTAATTGCATTTTTAACTAAAAGCTCGAGGCCACGCATAAAATATGAACTTAGTGGAAACCGAGCGTGAGAAGGTGATGCATACCGCTTACGTTTTTATTAATACTAAATTCAAAGTGGAGTGGATATGATACATCAGCTATGTACTCATGGCAGTATACCTAAACAAAGCATATTGAACAAATAAACAATCATATCAAGAACTTTGCGGACATAATATCACTAATAGACCCGCAATGTGGTGAAAATAACAGAACTGGAGACAGAATGGTTCTGACGAATTGAAACTGGCTTGCGTACAAGTAATTGAGTACGCTCTACTGAAGATAACTGACCTATATTAGAGGTGCAGTTTTACTTACTATTAATCACAATATTGATTAGCATAAACAGACGGCAGTGTGATGCGTATCCGCACGTTTAATAATTACACCATGAGGAAGTGTAGACAATTCAAATCAAGCTCCAGTCAGAAGATTTGGTATGCATTTCTCTCTCTCACGACGGGTTGTTTCATTGGGATTCTCCTCACAAGATATGGCTACGTTTTAGAAAAGATCGACGTCAACGTAGCAATTAACTGTGTAAATGGTACCAAAATCTTGTTTCACAGTCCGGAAGTGGACAATAACAATGCCAACTTTCGTGTGCCCAATATTGTGCATTTCATTTGGTTTGGAAAGAATAGGGAGATGACATTCATTCAGATGGTTAGTATTATGAGTGCCCATAAGATACAGCAACCCGATGTGATAATGTTCCACTATGATTTTCTTCCATCGGGAAAATACTGGGATGAATTGAAAAGGAACACACCCCTAAAAATCATCCATCGAAACCAACCAAAAGAAATATTTGGTCAAAGCATTCTGCATGTCTACCATAGAGGCGACATCGCAAAACTACAGATTCTGCAAGAATTTGGTGGCATTTATATGGATTATGATGTCATAATGGTAAACAAAATGAATCAGTTAAGAAGATATGACATGGTCATTGGCTTAGAGAAACGGCCGAAAAAGTTCAACGCTGGGATTATATTATCACACAAAGATGCTATTTTTCTTAAACTATGGTATGAATCATACAGGAACAATTACCGAGCCTTTGACTGGAATTATAACTGTGGTCGGTTATCATATGAGATATATTTAGAGAGACCTGATTTGTTACACGTTGAACCCTACAAATTTACCACGCCTGATTGGACAGAGCGCCATCTTTTGTTTAACGAAATAATCAATTGGAGAGAGATGTATGCGATACATTTAATGCTTCATTTAGATTGGACCAATTACACACCAGAAACGGTGAAAACTTTGAAAAACACATTTGGAGAAGTAGTTCGGAATGTTTATTATGGCGATTCTAAAGTCATACAAAATTAGAGTTGCAACAATTAAAGATAATTTACGGATCGGGCCTACCTTGGAAAATCTTCCACAGACAACTGCAGTTAAAATTATCAGGAATTGATATACTTTATAGATTACTAGACAGGAGCAAGCAAGTAACTCAGCAGTTCAAGTCTGAGAACACATTTTAAGACAAACCTTATTATTATTTGAAGGTTGATTCAAACCAAAGGCTCTACGGTCGAAGCTGAGAGAGCCTCACTGTCTGGGTAGCTCAATGAATACACGACAGCCGCCGCATTTTAGGGCAAAAAAGGTACAAGTAGCAAGTAATATGGGTTTAACCTGAGAAACAATCAGACTATACTATTCCTAGAGTACACGAGCCCATCATCCTTCAGTTCAATTTTTGAAACAACATATCCTTGTAATTTTACTTGTTGAACTCAAAAATGACATCACTTTGAATTATGAAAGTTTAATGGCGTAAATCAAGGTTATTTCTACTTGTATCTAGTCTATTCACAAAAACAATATATTTTTACAATCAAAAGTGGAGCAATTCGTCAAACTTGGTATTCAGTATGTAGAATATGTACAATACAATACTGTAATAAAAGGTCTCAATCTCAAAACGCACGACTATGGTGAGCTCAAAAACTAAACCAAACTCTTTATACCAGTAACTCAATCATCAAGTATTAGGGGAAAAATTAATTTCGAGGGAGTAATCTTTGGAGCCATAAAGAAAAGTATTTATTTCACAAAGGTTCATATCTTTAAAATGCAATAGTTGGTTATCTATTGACAATATTTCTGTTCATTGATTGATCTATGGTTTCGTTACAAAAATACCTAAATGGATCGTTATTGCCATCTAATCACACTGGTTGAGTCACATCGCAACGATTATCCCCACCTTCCTTCTCTGTCTATTTGTTTAAATATAACAATTGCAATGAGTTCTTAAATTTCCTTGTACGTTAACATAGATCTTTTGAATTTTGACAAAGTGTTTGTCAGAATTTTTCTACCATTTATACATACTGGTCTTGTCAAGATTTTCTGTTTTGTACAATGTACTGTCAATTCCTATAGTAACTAGTTTCTAATTTTGATTCAAAATTACTAATTCTATCAATTCTATTGATCTTAAAAGATAATCAAAATGAAAATATGATTTTGCTTATCTTTCTCTGGCCCAAGAACCCTTTCATGTGCTCTGTGTTTATGTGTTTTTTGTGTTTGTTTGTTTCATATACATTTATAAATTCACCGCTGTCCCCATCGTTCACTCAATGATTTTTTGGAATTGTGTTCCAATTACTCGAATAGCGAAGAAAGTTAATGTTTAGGTTAAACTCTTCACTAAATTCTTCTAGATTCAAAATTCTATTGGACTCATGGATCAAATCTTGTAACTAACAATTATTCTCCAATGTTTTACATTTTCTTCAATATTTTTTGAAGATTTCAGAAAATAATAAAATATATTATAATCATTGTTAAGTACTACGAACAATATTGTAGTGTAAATGTGAATTATTTCAAATGATTTTAATGCATTAAAATCAATAAAAATTGTTAGGAGGCACAGTATGCATAGACTATTACTTTTTCACATTGTATTGTAGCATTTGTATCTTCTTTGCATTTTTACTTAGCCTTGTGCATGCATGCATTGTATATTTTTGTATATATTCATTACTTGAATTAGCATATCTCTATGAATTAAAATTCTTTCTTTTTCAACATGAATAAAGTAAAATGTATTTTCATATATGCACTGATATACCCTAATGGGTTCCTAGTGTCAGCCCTGTTAAAATTTATGTCGAATAATCATACTAATAAACAGATGAACTCTAGTCTGAGGTCATCAAATATGAGTGCAAATGCACCTAAGTACTTTAACACATGCACTCGTGAATCACCATCATATCGTATCATCATTTCAACAAAAAATGATATTTTTTATTTTTTTGTATGTTTTTTATTACCCGTAGCTCCTCATTTTCGTTTTGAACGTATTCATAGTGTTCATTCATTCTTAACTCGATAAACTAAAACTGTTTGCATGCTACACATCGCTTGTCACATGCTTTTTTACGCTTTTACCGCGCCTTTATAAATACATTATATTAAACGTTTTTTAGTAGATCCTTATATTGAGGAAACACCAACCACTGGATAGATATTGTACATGTACTTCCTGTATATTTTGACGCTATTTAATTTCGCGAATTTTGAGAACTTGAAATGACAATTTCGCCGCGGAATATCACAAGTTTGAATTTTGTTATTCTCTGAATCTTATTTTTTTTTCAATTCAATTCAATTATTTATTTCATAATTCTTATATAATATACACTATAAAAAACAAGCCGCTAGACACCCTAGTGGGTATATGTTGCGGTTTAACAGAAATCATTAAAATGACAACTAGACTACATATAAAAGAAAACACTTATATTATGTTACATGTAGGTATATAAAAATGGTATTAACAATTAATCTAAGGATGTACAATGTAAAAATGTTACAAGAATCGGGTACCAGTATAAAAATCAACAGTATAGTATGATATTGGTATTATACATTATCGATAGATGAGTAGTTTTTTATATGAAGATTTGAAAATATTTAGAGTGGAGCATTTTTTAATATCATGTGGTAGAGCATTCCAAAGATTAGGACCCAGATAGCGAAGGGAAAGTTTAGAGCATTTAGGGATATGAAAATAATGCAATTGTCTTGTGTAATGATGATGAATATTAATGTTGATATCAAACAAGTCTTGAAATAGATTTTTTGGAAGACTGGGGTGCTTATTAAAGATTTTGTACATGAACTGACCAGTACAATATCTGTTGACATCAAAAATATTTAATATTCTAAGATCTTTAAATAGGGGAGCGGAGTGAGAAAGTCTATCCTTATTTAAAGCTAGCCTTAAGAATTGTTTCTGCAGTTTATGTAGACGATCATAAAATGATTTAAATGTGTTACCCCAGATTATGTTGCAATAATTTAATTGAGAGTGTATCAATGAGTAGTAAATTGTTTTGAAACTGTCTATTTGAAGTAGATGTTTAATGTGATAAAGAGAACCAATGACGCGAGAAATCTTTGTTTCAACAGATTTTATGTGCTCTTTAAATTTCAAATTTTTATCAATAATAATTCCAAGAAAGTCAATTTTTTCCCGGAAATTTATGTTCTCATTGCGTATTTTAAGATTCAGATTTGTTTGATTTTTTTGGGGTCCAAATAGAATAGCATTGGTTTTGCCAATATTAAGTGAAAGTTTGTTTGCCTTTATCCAGTCATCTATTGAATTCAAGTTTGCATTAGTTCTAGTCATAAGTTCATTTAAATCATAATCACTATCAAGAAGATTGGTGTCATCAGCAAACATAATAAATTTTAGATTAGGGGCAACAAAAGGCAGATCATTTATGTAAAGAATAAATAATAGTGGTCCAAGTACCGAGCCCTGCGGAACACCACAATTTAGAGATGATTGTTTAGATTCATAATTGTTAATGGTGACATATTGTTTGCGGTCTTTTAAATAACTTTCAAACCAGGACTTAGCTATTCCTCTGATGCCATAATATTCAAGTTTTTGTATCAAAATGTCATGATTAATTGTGTCAAAGGCCTTGGAAAAATCTAATGTTATGCCAATGCTCGTTTTCCCCAAATCAGTTGATTTTCGAATTTGTTCAATGAAATATAAAATGGCCATGTAGGTAGAGTTGAATTTCTGAAATCCAAATTGATAAGTAAAAATAATTTCAAAACGTTCTAAAAAACCAGTGAGTTTGGCGTGCATGAGCTTTTCTAACAATTTAGAAAATACAGATAAAACTGAAATTGGTCTATAGTTCGAAGGATTTGTAGTGACACCTTTTTTAAATACAGGTGTTACTTTGGCCAATTTGAGGGCGTCTGGGAAAATACCAGATTTAAAAGATAAGTTAAATATATACAAGAGTGGATCAATTAAAAACTGTCTTGCAGACTTAATAAGTGATGGTAGAATCCCATCAGGTCCAGGCGAGGAAGATTTTAGAAGACACATTTCTAATTCAAGCTCAGTTTTTGAGGTCTTTTTGAGATAAATAGATGATTGAACTTTTTGAGCTCTTGCTAGGTATTCATTAAAGCATTTTTTGGATTTTGGAATCTCCTTGGCTAGATTTTTACCAATATTGGTAAAAAAATTATTAAATCCATTGGAAATGATTTCATGATCTGTTGTTTCCTTTCCATTTATAGTGAATTTAGATGGCAATGCAGCTTTTTTGTTTTTTCCAAGTAGTTCATTAATGATAGACCAAGACTTTTTAATGTTACCACTTACAGGGTGTTCCATATGTTTCAGGAATGATGCTGTGTTTTATTGGTTTTCTTTTCAATCTAACTGAATTTTTGACACAATGTGTCTACACATGTTTTGAATAAGTTAGGAAAGTTTCATATCGTGAGGTTCAGTAGTCTTAATTATATGGTTGCTATAGTAACCTAGGGGTAGGGTAGGTGGAGCAGGTATAACAACGCGCAAAGTATATGAAATATTTGTAAAAATAGTTTTTTTTGTACGAAGTGTGACTAAGTATTAGGTTGTCAGAGTTGGATCAAACTTGTCAGTAATTAAACAAAAATGAAGGTGGATTCCAAGAAAGTAAAAAATGTCATCACCCTTGATCACATCACAATTTAAACACCTGTCATGTCATGAGTCACAAAGGAGAATAAACACAGGTCATTTTGGACGAACGGCCATCTTGAAAAGTGAAAAAGTCATTTGCAAAGGAAAACTTTGACTTAGGCAACACACAACAATCTGTGACAAGACATGACAAGTGTGAATAACAGTTTTCTGCAGCAGACACAATTAAACTCCTGATGAATGCACATGGGGAGTCAATGATGGTAACCTCTAGAGTGTATGAGTGGTACAAGCGGTTCAAATCTGGAAGGGAAGCTGAGACCGATTATTCAAAATGTGGATTTCTGAGAACAGTGAGAGCGCTACCTAATGCGGAAGGATAGATGCTGAAATAATGATGATGGCTAATAAAGGGTGTGATAACATTTTTAATTTCCAGGAATCCAACCTTTATTCTTTTTAATTTCCAACAAGTTTGATGCAACTATGACAAATTAATACTTTGAACACTTTATACAAAAACTACTATTTTTACAAAAATGTCATGTTTTGCGTGTTGTTACACCTGCTCCACCTACCCTACCCCTAGGTTACTATAGCAACCCTATTATTCAGTCTACTGAGCTTCATGATATGAAACTTTTCCAACTTATTCACAACATATTTGGACACATTTTGTTAAAGTATCAGCTAGATTGAAAAGAAAACCAATAAAATACAGCATCATTCCTGAAACATATGGAACACCCTGTACTTCGGCAAACTTATTTTGATAATGTGTACGTTTTATTATTGCTATTTATTGCTATCTATTATTATTATTATTTATTGCTTTGTTAAACTAAGGTGTACCTTATACCCGTTAAGTTTTCAAAATATTACCCATGACACAAATAATGGTTCAATATTGTACACTAATCATGCCTACCCAGTGGTCATCTTTTCCGGGGATTCAATTGGCAAATTTCGCGGCGATTATTTTTCTCGATTTGATCACCATCGCGAATTGCACCTAATTAAAACGCACTCGAGAAATACCGGGAGAATCGTATTTCATTTTTCAAGCAAATGTTTCTTGCTAATTTTTGTGGATCCTAAGTCCTGTATAAGACATAGGCAAGGAGGATTGGCTCTTAGAGTGCAACATCAACATTCTGTCCCATATATGGGCATGTCGTGATACAAAATTAGAATTCAGACAGCCGCTGTTTTGTTCACTTAAACATTTGAATCGGGAATTTAGGTCTTTTTGACATTCTGTGATAAATTGAAAATTTCTTTCACAATTAAATTTTTGTGCCAAAAAATGCTTCGCTGCCTAAGGAGCAATCTTTCATCTTTCAACTAGCTAAAACTAAAATCATGGTAAAAGCTTCACAATTTCAAAATAGCAGGTATCGCGAAATCCAATTGAAATCAATGTAGTTCGTGAAATTGAATAAGCTACAATTTAAAGTTCAACTTGTTTTTGTCTTCAGCATAGGATTATATATTTGAGGATGTACAATAAATGCCAATCAGTAATAGTATGCAGATGTATAAATGTATGACTTGGTATTGATTCAATATAATTTTGGTTCATGATTTTGCCTAACAACCACCTAGCAACGGCACAAACATCGAAATAGTGAAATTGAAAAATTGGGGGTATGGGGAAATAAAAAAATTATGTCTAAAATTTGGACCACAGTGTGCATATACATTGAGGAATATGCAAAAATGCAAAGGTGTTCATAAAATGGTTTTTGAAGAAATCGGGTTTTCTCTCAAATTCCTGAAGAGAACGCGTTAGGCGACTACTTGGCGAGTGACAATTTTTACCTTCAAAAATTCATAACACAGTCAAAAGTGGCTCGATTTTCATGAACTAAAGCATGTTGGAAAGAAAATTCAATATGCTAAACTATTATTTATCAAACAAAGCAATATTATCATCTTTTTGTATTTTCTATAGCATTGAAAATAGTGTAACAATCAATATTTTATGAGTTTCAATTTTATTGGCATCAAGTTCCAACTATCATAATAGACCCCAATCACCCTGGTTTTTACACCGAAAGGTGTTTGTATCTGTGGCTCAAGCTAAAAAAAATAACGGAGACGTAAAAATAATTGCAAACTGTATTCTGTATACGTAAAAATACAATGCATACATTAGGGTTAAACTATTAAAGTAACAGTGCTACATGAATTCATTAAATGATTCATGAATTATTTAAATTTTTCGACCGAGTTGTTTCTGATTCTAAATTCCTTGCACCAAGCGTGGTTCCAAGCGATATAGTTGTTAATTGGTCTTATGCTTCGTGATCGTAGGCGAGGTGATGTAACAACCATTCCCCGTTTTTCTTTAACGGTGTCTAAAATATCCATTGCAATCTCCAGTCTTCCAGTGAGTCTTAGCTGTTTTTTCACAGGGATAAGATCTGGACATTTTTCGTTCTGCTCTATTATCGCACTCGAGGAAATAAACGCACTATTCGGACGGCTTATAACTTCCGTTTCGTTGCCATGCAGTGACGTCATGGATACGTGAATGTTCTCATTAATATTTGTAAGTCCACACTCTCCTTCATTCACCTGAACTTCACATGACGTTGGAGTTTTCGTTCTTTTCAAGTATTTTGTATAGTTTGGATATGAATTGGTAATGTTTCCGACTAATATATCTTCGTAGCCGCGAAACATGGCAAACTGTGCCTCCGGTGAGAGTTTAGATCCGAAACGAGCCTGCATTGGCAAATACTCAGTCTTTGCATATTGATTATTGTATAAGGTCTCATTCTGATTCGTATCATCATTGTCGTCGATATAGTCCTCTGTCATTGTTCTAGACCAGGCCCTCGTGATGCTGTTCAAATTCACGACCTTTTTACTAAAATCCGAGAGAAACTTACTGTATGGAGTTTTTAGAATGCTCTTCTCCGGGATAGCCTCAAATTTTCTGTTTTCGGTAAGATCATTCGATTTGGAGACAGATTTCTGTTGATACATTAACCCAGTTCCAACTGAACGACCCCCTCTTCTTTTATTTCTGTTCATAATGGTGCTTTAAGTTTAGTTTTACTTTGTACATTCAGAATTATCGGAATCAACCGAATTAATTTTTAACACGTTTCTCAAATAAACTTCTTTCCAGAGCCAACCGATCCATGAGATAATAAGACTGCTATTACGCACCTATTTACGTTAGGACATGTAATATATTGAGCATACGTAAATTAAGAAATCGTTTCAGACTCAACATCGGTAAGAAATTACTATAAATTGGGAATTATTAATTGGTTGCATGACTATTATGCTAACGCTGGTAACCATGTCATTAATCCAAAACAATTCAATATTTTCAATACTTGTGTACCATGCGTGACTGTAAATGTACCAATTCACCTAGTACTAGTCAATATGGTTCCGATCATTTTGTTGTGTAAAAGTTTGAAATGACTGATTCGTTATCAAATTGAATATAATTGATACAGTTGATAAAATACAATACAATACGTTCCCGAAACAATTGGATAAACCTTGGCAGTTTTTCCAAAATACTGCACAGACGTTATTCGAATAAATTGAGGTAAAATTAAAAGGCAAAATGATTTGTGATATTCGACTGTTTATCCAACGATGCTTCTACATTCTACCAAACAAAACTTCCCATTTCGTTCAGAAAGGTCAATGTAGCAAGCTATTATGTTGTTCTCATGGAAAAAAGATATTTACAAAACGAAAGTGTGTAGTGTGAAGCTATAGCCAATAACCCACATGCGAGTAGAAATAATCTTGATTTACGTCATTAAAAATTCAAAATTCAGTCAAAGTAATATCATATTTGAAATCTACATGTAAAATTACATCTAGAAATGTGGTTTTAAAAAATGTTTATCAACTTTGAAAAATTAATTTTCTTTGAAAATGTGACTTCTAGCTCGGGGAGATTCCCCATAGATCCCATGCTATAAAACCACAAAAAATGAAATATCTTTTCTTTGAGTGGACAGATAATATGCTTTACTGGACATATTTTCATTAGTATAAGTATCAGACACATAAGGGTTATATGAAAATTGAGCCACTTGAATTAATAATATTCAAATTTAAGGGAACTTTCTTATATACCTGCCATGTTAATTGACCCGAATCAGCCACCTGGTGGTGAATCTGGTAACTACCTACTCGCATTTGGGTAATTGAACACAGGCGAATTTATCGTCGATCATAAGTATGGGATAATTCCTCGTGACGATATCATATTGTCCCTCGGAATGAACCCCATATCCAACCCCTTCTTCGTAAACAACCTTTATATGTATACCATAATAGACTGCGCATATATTTACAAGTTTATTCAGTGTTTAAATTGATAAATAATTACCATATACTGTTACAGAAGAACACAATTAGACACAATGGGCATAAAGTCGAAATAGAACTATCCATTGCAATGAATAGATATTATCCTATATGAGGTTCGGGATATTGGGATTATCCCAAGGCTAATATAATAGACACAAATCTGCCCGAGGGCTGTAGATCCCGAGGGAAGATATATTATATTGGTCTAGCGATAATCCAAATATCTTGAACCGACTATAGGATAATACTAAACTTTGATCATCTTGTTCATATTGTTCAATTGGTCCATAATGTGGATGGTGCTGAATTCTGAAAGCACCACAATGTTGATGGTGGTTGAGTCTGAAAGCACCATAATATTTATGGATGGTGCTGGAGTCTGAAAAGCACTCTACTAATATGAATGGTCTTAGAGTCTTAAAGCACAATAATATGGATGATGCTGGAATCTGAAAGCACCATAATGTGTATGGTGCTGGATTCTGAAAGCACTGTAATGTTGATGGTGTTAGAGTCTTAAAGCACCATAATACGGATGGTGCTACAGTCTGAAAAAGCACTATGATATGGATGATCTTAGAGTATGGATGGCGCTGGAGTCTGAAAACACCATAATACGGATGGTGCTGGAGTCTAAAAAAGCACTATGATATGGATGATCTTAGAGTATGGATGGTGCTAGAGTCTGAAAGCACCATGATGTGGATGGTGTTAGAGTCTCAAAGCACCATTATGTGGATGGTGCTGGAGTCTGAAAGCACCATGATGTGGATGGTGCTGGAGTCTGAAAGCACCATGATGTGGATGGTGTTAGAGTCTCAAAGCACCATTATGTGGATGGTGCTGGAGTCTGAAAGCACCATGATGTGGATGGTGCTGGAGTCTGAAAGCACCATGATGTGGATGGTGCTGGAGTCTGAAAGCACCATGATGTGGATGGTGCTGGAGTCTGAAAGCACCATGATGTGGATGGTGCTGGAGTCTGAAAGCACCATGATGTGGATGGTGCTGGAGTCTGAAAGCACTATGATATAATATGGATGGTGCTGGAGTCTGAAAGCACCATGATCTTGATGGTGCTGGAGTCTAAAAAAGCACTAAACTAATACGAATGGTCTTAGAGTCTTAAAGCACAATAACATGGATTGTGCTAGAGTCTGAAAGCATCATAATGTGGATGGTGCTGGAGTCTGAAAGCACCATGATGTGGATGGTGTTAGAGTCTCAAAGCACTATGATATAATATGGATGGTGCTGGAGTCTGGAAGCACCATAACATGAATGGTGCTGGAGTCTAAAAAAGCACTATACTAATACGGATGGCTTTTGAGTCTAAAAGCACAATAATATGGATTGTGCTACTAGAGTCTGAAAGCATCATAATGTGGTGGTGCTGGAGTCTAAAAGCACCATGATGTGGATGTTGATGTCTCTTTTTGGCACGAAATGCTCCCACGATGTTGCTTGGTGCCATATTATTCGGTGGAATAAAAAGGCAGGTATGAAGTGAAATATATACACTTAACAAAATTCATTGCAATACTAAATGCGACTTAATATCAATTTACATCTACCATATGCGGAACAATATGTTAATATCTATTCGCTGCTGATGCAGAACGTACGTGTGCTTCCTATATGTATGTATCATTTTCGAAAGTAATTTGAGGTTACAGGGTGTCCAGGAAGTAAAGCATGGTAAAGGATTTCTAGATTCATATTGCATTAAGTCAGTTTTCATTGTTTTTTTGTTTCTTTTAGCAAAGCAAACAAGACTACTTGGCGCATCCCTAGTTTCGTTGACATAGTATAAATAGGGGTTCCGACCAATCCTAGTTTTTTAGGTCCATATAAAGACGGCAGTAAATGTTAATATGCCAATAATTTTCCTTTAGAAGATACGTTGATTACGCTGCCATCTTTTTACGAACAATGCTTCTATCACATCCAGATATCTCGATAATGAATTTAGTTATCATGAAAAGAATCCCACTTTTTATCAATACATTTTATTGCCATTAATCATAGAGTACAGATAATACTTGAAGGACTCAGTCGCCAGTGGCATTTTAGGTGTCCCTAAATGCATTATTTACAATTCATTATCATATAAGTAAAACAAAAACGTATAGCTGCATTTTGATTGGGGTGTTGAGGACAGATGCCTTTGCCTATAGGGTCCTTTGTTCACTGCGCGTTTCAGCATATACAAGGGCCGATCAAAAAGTTTCTTACAGTTGGCTCTCGATTTTATAATAAGAGGAGTTGGATGTTCAAACTTTAACATGAGACAGGATAGTTAGTTTGTTAAAGTTTGAGCATCCAACTCCTCTTATTATAAAATCGAGAGCCAACGGTAAGAAACTTTTTGATCGGCTTTTGTATATAAGGTTGTTTTGTAATTCTAAACCATTTTCTTTGTTTTAGGGGAAAATTTTTGTGCGATCCACATGGAATCAATTTGGATATGTGTGGCAATCAACGTAGATTCCACATGGAATCCACAGATTTCCACGTGAATTTTCATTGAGCTTTGCCCGATGGGACTGCTTGGGATTCCTTGGGACTTTGCCCCATGAAGTCCCATTGAGTCCCATAAGATTAGATGGCGTATCATTTGGCAAAGTTCCACGAAGCCCCATTGAGAATGAACCTGTTCATTCTATTTCAATTGGGCATCGTGGGTATTTTGATTATTGGATGTGTCAGGTAACTTGGGATCAAAATGACCGCGACAAAACCTCCTAAACTAAATTACATTATTTCCGTGGGACTCGATGGGATATGGAGGGACTCAATAAGACTCCATGGGGCAAAGTTAACAAGGCCTCATGGGACATTGTGGGACTCGATATGGCATGGTGGGACTTGATAGGGCAAGTGGGATTCTGCGCCATTGGAATATGTTGGCCTTAGGACCAAACTCGCGTAATGTCAAATATCATATAAGTAATGTCAACAAACCCAGTGCCACGGAATTGATCACTTTGAGAGAATGTAAAGCACTCTTATGTCCTTTGGCTTCAGGTTAACAATTTATGACACATGTAAAACAACGCATATACACCCCCTCCATAAGGTTGGCAACTGCAAGTTTTCATATGATAACATATCAAGGTCTGTCAATGTTTGAACCTTGATTTTGTTTCTTATTGCTTTATTTCAAAAGCTTGATGTCTCGTTTAAAATTGCCAAACAGCATGACAAGCTTTGAGAATTCGAAGTGATTCAAAGGGGGACTTCCAGTTACAAAACTTATGATGGGGGGGGGGGGGGGGTGTAACATAACATATTACATGTATCATCATAATTCATTCTTAACATACCATAACTACATGAACAACATTAGGATAAAATGGCATCTGAAACACAATTTTGAAAAATGTTATTAGAACACACACATGTATTTCCTATTGCTGACCACTAATACACTTAACGGTTTTATGGGGTATGGCAATGATAAGCTGTAAAAAATATAAAATGGTAGATAATGAATATATTTAACATATTATGATGTCACATATAGTGTTAATATTTATTTAGAATAAAACATTTTGCTATAATGATACAAATTTTCTGTTTGACCCTAGCAACAAGTTCAACAACTGAAGTGTAATGTGCCACGCCCCCTTTCTTGAATTTTTAGGGAAAGGTAAAGAGAAAAATCAGAAAAATAGATGCTTGTACTTTTTATTGAAACTTATGCAAGAAATATTTGCTAACATCATCAGTGAAGTTTTTAATCAGGTTTTATACACCATAGGCCCTTACTGTTTTTTAAATGACTGATTAACTATCGACTGATTAAGAAATTTTGAAGAGAAATTATGTACTTTTAGGGACGAATTATCCC